ATGTGCATTGTAGTAGTTTTTATCTCAGTGCAGCAGTGTTCCTTGCCACGTCACCTTTTCATACAGAATAATTTCTGAGAAAACTGTGGGTACTTAACAGTAAAGTTGTATAGCCCCAATGCACATTGATGGAACTCTCCCTTAGTAAGTAAAGTAAAAATACCACCTACAGCTCTGACTTAAAACATACCAGTACATCTGCATTTTTAGAACCATCAATATACTGCCTGGCCAAACTAACAGAATAGTCTCTATCTAACAATAGAGTAATATTCCTAAAAGGCTGGTTGTACCTACAGTGGTTTCTGAAGAACTAGAACAACATAGATACATTAAAATATAACCAAAATTTTAGAAATTGTGAAAAAAAAAAAGAGCTACAAAGGACTTTCACAAGGTTGCATGGATCATTTTTTTTCAGCACAGGATATTTACCCAGTTCTCGCAATTCCTTATTGGCATGAAATCCAATTACTTACATCGATCATAATAGTTCTCAACTGTGGTCACATAGTACCACTGCTGCTTTCACAATCAGATTCAGGCTAACAAAAATACAAGAAATTTTCTTGTCTTCTGTCCTCATACTTACACACTTTTTAAAGTTTTGGTATTTGCTACCATGTGTTGGTATAGATAATAGGTGACAAAACACATACTGAAAAACCATGAATTGCTGTTTCTAGGGTAAGTTTAAAAGCTTTAAGAATTTATGTAGTTACTGTTTTGAGTTTTATATTATATTCTGGTAATTACATTTTTTTGTTATGTCTTTAGAAGCATTTAGTCAAAACCTGAGATAGTGGGCAGTCATGCTTCTTTTGGGACTATGAAGAATAAAATTTCATTCCTTCTCACAAATAGCTTATAGTTAAATGAGAAATGGGAACAAAAGGAAGTTGACAGTGACCAGTTCTTGGGGAAGAGGCAGGAAGGACTTCATAAAAGAGGTAACATTTAGGCTGGTAGATGTGGCTTAAGTGCTAGAATACCTACCTAGCAAGCTGGAGGCCCTGAATTCAAACCACAGTACTGAAGAAAAAGAAAGAGACATTTAAGTGCTTTAAAAGATTTACAGCTTACACATAAAAATATAAGACTGAAAGAAGTGTTCACTAAGGTCAATGAGAGAGGCCTTTCTAATTACAGAGAACTTTATAAACAAAGCAGTAGAAAGGTATAGAACAGTCTGGCATGTTCAAGGACAAGCAGTAGTTTTACACGGCTAGAGGGTAGTGTATGAATGAGACTATAATGGGAGATTGAGCCAGAATGGCATCAGGGACCAATTTCTTTTAATGATTTTTTTTGAAGTGAGGTCTTTCTCATCACAGACTTAGGAACTCACGCCATCTTCTCACTTCAGCCTTCAAACTAGCTTGGACTATAGGTATGAGCCACCATCCGGCTAAAAGAAGAGTTTGGGTTTTTTGTTGTTGTTTTATGGTGTTGGGGATCTAACCCAGAGGTGTGCACTTGCCAGGCACAAGTTCTACCACTATGCTACGTTCCCCAGCCTGTGAACCAAGAACAGTTTTCATTATTGTAGTAGAAGTTCCAACTGTGTTGTGTTGGCAGTGGAAGAACTATCAACAATTTTCAAACAAGAAAACAAGAGTAACTGGCTCTGTGGAGTAATTGAAGTGGTCAGTTTGGAGGCAGGGAATCTTTGGGCGATTAATATGATAATCCAGTCAAGAATTTTGGACCAGAGATAACTAAAACTGTAGTAATCGAGATGGACAGAAAGAAGTCCATTTCTTTAAAAACTTCATGATGAATTGAGAAGGAATTCATCACCTTCCATGTTTTCAGCTTATAGGTAGTTGATGCATAAAATTCACCATAATGAGGAATGCAGAAAGAATTAGTTTATGACAGACAGTGTGAATTCTATGTAGCTAGAGTGCTCTAAGAACCTGTTGGACATCAAGAAGGCTTTTGAATATATGGCTTTGCAGGTAAAGTTCAGAGAGTTGTCAGCATGTTAAAGTATTGGAGTGGTGAGGTTGCCCAAAAGGAATATGGAGTAGGAATTCTTAACTTGGAGTACAAATATCCTGAAATTACCCAAAATGTTATGTATGTGACATTGTCATGGAAAGGTCCATATTTTTCATCAGGTTTTCAAAAGGGAGATACACTTTTTTAGTGTGAAAGGCTGTCAAAGACAGAGACCTGAGTATCTGTATTGTTTAAGTGGCAGACAGAGAAAGCAGTCTCAGTAAATTAAGTAGAAAAGGAACAAGAATGAAAAGAAAAATCATGGTATTCATGCCTAAGGAATGGTCAAGCAGTGGCTACCACTATAGATAGAGACATCAAAATACGTGAGGATTCACAAATTAGAAATGCTTGGCAATTAAAATTATAATGTGGAGTTAAATGTATTTGTATTTAATGAAGTTCCCCACAGAAAGCTGTAAGAACTATTGGATTGCCCTATAATAAGTTCAGATATATCTGCCAAGTATTCAAGGTTGTCTAAAATTTGCTCTTGCCCTAACATTACAGTTTTATCTCTGTTCAACATTCTGAACTTTAAAGCTGGACAAATCCATCTCTTTAACTGTTTTCTGAATACTTCATGTAATCTTAGCTTCAAGCTTTGGCCCCTGTTTCTCATCCTGCCTGCAATGTCCCCTATGCAACAAATTTTATCAGTCTTTCACAGTATAGTTTGTTCTGTTTCTTCTCCCTTTTCTGATGGTCTGATCTATATTGATTTCCCTCTTTATATTTTAATGGTATTGATTATCTTCTTTACTTTGGCATTTAAATATATCTTGCATCACTATTTATTTCACATATTACTGCCTTCTTTTCACAGTGAGATTTTTCTCCTAAAGGCTTGCAGTGGCTTATAGTTCATCATACTTCCTAATGAACTTTCAAGTACTTACTATATGTGTGAAAATACGTGAATGAATTTAACTTAAGCCAAATAGAGTTGGAGGAAAATGTCTTCATGAAGAAATTCCTGTGATGCATTCCAAATTACATAGGAATAATTTATGGATTAGTTTTACCACTGTATTCCATTTCTGTAGGTAATCAAGAGTTGATTACATATAAAAATAAGGTACTGATAATTTATAAGCCTATAAGCTTTTTGGCTTTTATTTGGAATTTTAAGTTACTGAGTTAATTTCATAGGTTAGTGATTTTTCTGTGTAAAATTATTTTTCATAATGGAAATATCTTTTTAGAATTTAAAAAATAAAATATTGCTGATATTTCTATGCTGTCTTGCCAAAGGCATTCATGTCTTCTAAGTATATTTATTATCCATAAATTAAGTAGGTATCAGTATGATTAGCATTTAAAACTTAGTCAAACATCAGTACCACCAAAAAAACAAAAACCAAAATACACACATCCCAAACTTCAATGTTTTTAGTTTTGCTAGAAGATAATTTTACCATGAGACTTAAAGGTAGTGTTTCTGTTTTTTTCGTTGTTTTTTTTTAGCAACATTTGACATAACTCAGGGCTATGGTAGGAAAAACTGTAGCAGAAAAAAAAGGGACCAGGATTACATTACTTCTTCTGGCATAAATAAAAATCGAAAACTTAGAATTAAAGGGAATAGAAGAGTTGAGATACAGCCAATTGGATCTCTTACCTGCTTCACTGTAAAGATGTCTGCTTCCAACAATCCCAAATTGGCATTACCTGACTGGAGGGAGAAATCTTTAGACCTTAATGAGGCTCAATTTGACAAATACTTCACTGTGCCTCTAGGCTTTCTTAGTCTTTTTTTTCCCTAGAACTACAGTGTATGCTTCCATGGAAATACAGTTTGGTGCATAGCCTCAGACCACACTTTAACACATTTTAACAGAAAAAATTGTATGTGTTTTGACTAGTTTTCAAGATGAAGGGAAGTTCTTTTGTTTTTGTTTTAATGTGCTGGGGTTTGAACTCAATGCCTTGTACTTGGCAAGGTAGATGCTGTGCCACTGGAGCCATAGCTCTAGCCCAGGAAAGTTTTTTTAATTCACAGGAATTAATTGTTTCTTGAGTAGAATATAATAAAATGCTAAGATACAGATAGTGGGGATAAAATAAACTCACTTTTGGATGTATCGCAGTGTCCCTCAACCTGATTTGTACCTCAGAAATATGCCAAGGACCATTTGTTATTAATACATTATAGATAGGGACTGGGGTTATAGCTCAATGGTAAAGTACTTACCTACCATGAGCAAGGCTCTAGGTTTGATTCCCAGCACCACATAAAAAAGAAATGTGTGTGCAGATATTACAAATTTATGTATCATATTTAATTTCAACATACAATCTCATTTATTTATTTATGTTTGGTGGGACTGGAGTTTGGACTCAGGGTTTTGCACTTGCAAAGGCAATCAGTGTTTTTTAAAAGAAGTATTTTACTTTTTTCATAATAAATCTTTGAAATTCTGTATTATACTTAAGGTGCATCTCAGTTCGGACTAGCCACATTTCAGGTTCTCAATAGCTACATGTGGCTAGCAGTGATTGTACTGCACAGTGCATGTTTAGAATGTCTTAAGGAATGTGTATCCAAGAAACATGGCGAAATATAAGTTCCCTCATGTCCAGTGAACCATTCTAAGTATGGACCTTAGAGAATACCTGCATCTGTGCTAGCCAGGTAAGCCAGTAACTTAGGTCATAGCTTTTGGACCATCTGTTTCCATGATCAAGATGAATACATTTTTGTTTAACCTAATTACTGCTTAGTAGGATATTCATAAGTTTCAGGGCCTTTATCTTTCTCCAGGTAAGATTATTTAGCCTATTGTCAAAAACTTTGTGACACATCTATTTATGTAATATAAAGAAAACGTTTGATTTTTATGCTTTGTACTTATCTCTTAGAAACTTGGCTGACCCTTTACATATTCTGAGCTATTAAGAAAAATGATAATAGCTTACTCTTTCAGATATTTATTTGAGAATGTAATAATTGAGAATGTAATAATCTGATTTGCATTTTCTTTTTATATTTTAAGGATATGGAATATTATCTTGTAAAATGGAAAGGATGGCCAGATTCTACAAATACTTGGGAACCTTTGCAAAATCTCAAGTGTCCATTACTGCTTCGGCAATTTTATAATGACAAGCATAATTATTTATCTCAAGTAAAGAAAGGCAAAGCAATAATTCCAAAAGACAATGACAAAACTTTGAAACCTGCCATTGCTGAGTATATTGTCAAGAAAGCTAAACAAAGGATAGCTCTGCAGAGATGGCAAGATGAACTCAACAGAAGAAAGAACCATAAAGGAATGATATTTGTTGAAAATACTGTTGACTTGGAGGGCCCACCTTCAAATTTCTACTATATTAATGAATACAAGCCAGCCCCTGGGATCAGTCTAGTCAATGAAGCTACCTTTGGTTGTTCATGCACAGATTGCTTCTTTGAGAAATGTTGTCCTGCTGAAGCTGGAGTTGTTTTGGCTTATAATAAGAACCAACAAATTAGAATCCCACCTGGAACCCCCATCTATGAATGCAACTCAAGGTGCCGATGTGGACCTGATTGTCCCAATAGGATTGTACAAAAAGGCACACGATATTCACTTTGCATCTTTCGAACTAGCAATGGCTGTGGCTGGGGTGTAAAAACCCTTGTGAAGATTAAAAGAATGAGTTTTGTCATGGAATATGTTGGAGAGGTACATTTAATTTATCACATAACCAATAAGGTGCATGTAAGGCTTACACTTTTGAAAAGCTACCTTGTCACATACATAACATAAATACTTGGTACATTTTGATATTATCATTTGCAGATATGTAAAATTCATTTTCAGATTCAGAAGGAGAGTTCACTGGCATAGTTAGAAATACATATATATATATATATATATATATATATATATATATATATATATATATGTTAAATTGATAGTCATTTTTCAACAAGCACCATTATAGTCATTGAACATAGCATGTGTATATTTTAAAATCTGACATCTATTTTTACATAAAAGTCCTAAAAAAAAACCCAAACCTAAACACATGCTAATTTTGAAATTTTGAAGGTATAATTTACTTCATTTATTTGGCTCAGACTGATTACATTTCCTTCAGTGTTTTGTGTCAACATGAAAGATGTGATAGAGCAGCCCAGTGCTTTCTGAGTAAGTATTGTAAAATACACATAAAAGCATTTATTTCACCCATAAAAAAATCTCTTTGGAACTCAGCCACCTTGAATTGCAGACCATTCTCTAAATTACCAAATAGTACCAAATTTATTTTTATACATGTCATATACATAAATATAAAATAGTACTTAACACATGCCACATACTCTTCTGAGTGCCTTATCATAATTAATTCACTAGTCCTCTAAACCCTGTCAAGTACCATTACTGTAGATGAACAAACTTAGGCACAGAGAAATTAAGGAACCTGCCCAATGTCACACAGGTCACATAGTAGTAAAGAAGAAACAGTATTCAAAACTCTAAAATGCTTTTCACTGCCCTCCACTGCCTCAGCCCAAATGGTGGGTTAAGCTGTGACAAGGATACGAATGTGGCTGCATATCTGGGATTCTCAAATCTGACTGGTTTCTTAAGGTATCTGGAATTGGATCACCTATAATTATCTGTATTCCTTTAGAATTCTGAAATTAAATGGGACCCTGGTTTTGATCCTTACATGTTTGATAATGGCAAATTATTAGAAATCACTAGATCTTATATGATCTCATGTCCCTTTTTTTTTTTTTTTTTTGACTTAGCAGCTAAATCTGGTTGATAACATGAATCACTTTGGATATTTTTGGATTCTTGAGCTGAGCTTAGGAAAAGCTGTGCTCTTAGGAGAATTGTAGATGATATTTTTTTCCTCTGTGGTGTTGGAGATTGAACGCAGTGGCCTCACACGTGCTAGCAAGCGCTCTACCACTTAGTGACATCCCCAGCTCCTGGATGATGGTATTGAACATAGCATTTCTTGAATATCTGTTGTATGAAACAGCGCTTTCCATATAATTGACTGCAAATTTGACAGTTCTCTCCTGTTTTGTAACAAATTTCCCTTTGTGACTGCACACAGATGGGTCACAGAAAAAGCATGCCTCTAGAGCATATTTAGATCACACGTACTTCTAAATGCAGTCCTTTACATGGTATTACATGCTATAGAGAGCTATTGTATAGTTTTTAGATAGCCTAACTGTAATGAACGTAGAACAATGTTTCAACGTGCTAATTTTCTCTAATTTTATTCATTTATATTTATTTTGATGTGACTGGGTTTGAACACAGGGCCTGATGTTTGCTAGGCAGATGCTCTTAAGCCACACCCCCAGTTTCAGAAAGGCATTCTTTTGCACTATCATTTTCCTTCTATTTTTCACACTTTCCATCTAGCTCCTGGTTTGTGTGTCAATGTTTATTTTGATGAAACTTGAATTTTCTTTTTAAACATTTGTAGCCATTACTGTATTAATTGGTTTACCAATGAACATTTCTTCAGTTTAGCAGTAGCTACATAATATCTGTGGTTTTGCATGCAAGCTATTGCCTGGAGTCCTAGCTACTTAGGAAGCTGAGGCAAGTAGGAAGATGACATGGGCCCCAGAGTTTGAGACCAGCCTGAGCAACAAAGCGAGACCCCGTCTCAAAACAAAACAAAAAAACTTAGTTTTTTTCTCCTTAGGTAATCACAAGTGAAGAAGCCGAAAGACGGGGACAGTTATATGACAACAAAGGAATCACATATCTCTTTGATTTGGACTATGAATCTGATGAATTCACAGTGGATGCAGCTCGATATGGAAATGTTTCTCATTTTGTGAATCATAGTGTAAGGAATCCTTACATACGTTTCAATTTAGTGCTGTTTTTAATGATTTTTCCATAGTTGAAGGATAATTATCTTTACACACCCTTCCAAAGTATTTTAATGTAAGGGCCTCTCCTGTTGTTATATCATGGTATTATTGCTGTTTTAGGAAGGTAAACATTGAGGCACTTACTAAATACTATGTTTTGCAAGAGTCTTAATGTTACTTCATCTCAGCTTTCCAGTAACTTAATAAAGTAGGTATTATCTTCATAATGAGGGAGGAAATTAGAGGGAAATTAAGTAAAATATTTAAGAATCATGCATAGCTATTTAGGTTTCTTAAGGAAGTTAACTAAATTTTAGAATGTACAGTACTCTGCTTCACACACACATTTTTACTTTCCACGATTTCTGTTAACCACAGTTAGCTGTAGTCTGAAAATATTCAGTGAAAATTCCAGAAATAATTTGTAAATTTTAAAATTACCTGCCATTCTGATTAGCATGATTAAATCTCACACTGTCTCACTCCACCACTCTACTCTGCCCAAGACATGGATCTTCCCTTTGTGCAGTGTCCACATTATGTATACTACCCACCTGTCAGTCACTTAGTAGCTTACTGGGTTGTCAGGTTAACTGTCACAAGTGTCTAGTGCTTGTGTTCAAGTGACCCTTAATAATGGCACAAGGGTAGTGTTGCTAGAAATTTGGATAGTCCACAGAGAAGCTATAAAGGGTTATTACAGTACTAGTCATAATATTCTACTATTTGTTATTGATCTCTTACTGTGCCTAACATAAGTATAGGGGAAAAAAAACCTGACATCTATAGAGGTTGGTACTATCTACAGTTTCAGGCATCCACTAGTGGTCTTGGACTATACCCCCTCCATGGACAAGGGAGGGCTACTGTTCAGCTTAAGATAAATGCATTAAAGTGTAGACATGTTAAGCTTTCTATAAAATTTAGGGATTTCTGGAATATTGAAGCATTTAGTCCTTTTTCTAATTATAAATTATTCATCCTTTTAATTCATGTTTGGAAGAACTTAGAATGGTAATCTTAACTTCAGAATCTTGTACTCTATACTTTCCATAAATAAGGGAAATTAATAAATTAATGGTTACCTGCTAAGAGCCAGGTAGATAGGTCAGTGAGGTTGATATTGTCCTCATTTTATAGATGCTATGCTGCAGATAATAAGGGTTGTTGCATCTCAGAGAGGAAGGATATAGTCATGTTAAAACTTCTGGTGGATGGCATACCAGGAAACTGGTATGTGATAGCAGTGAAATGTGAGAGACCTAACTCCATTTTTAATTCTGTTTCACTCAAACCTTTGCTTTAAAGAACTTTTTCTTTTAAATAACAGCAATACATTTGAGATATAGTTAGTCATTTCTTAGTATTCCAGGGGTTCTCATTGTTAGCTCTGGTTCTTAGCCTCCAAAACCCCCTGCAGGCACTGAAATCCTTAGATGTTCAAGTTCCTTATACAAAATGGTGCAGTGTTTGCAGATCACATGTACATCTCTTAAAGTGCCCCTTATACTTTAAGTCATGTCTAGATTACTTATAATACCTAGTACAGTGTAAATAATTGTTACACTGTATTGTTTAGGAAATACAGCAAAAGAAATCAGTCTGTACATGTTCAGTACAGATAAGATTTTTTTTTCCTCAAAATAGTTTCAATCCATGTTTGGTTGAATCTGAAGTTGGTTGAGTGTGTGGGTGTGGAACCTATAGATAAAGAAGGCCAAACTATATTCCCAAAATATGTATATTCTATCCAGGGACAGTTACTTTGATTTCCTGGTATGATTGATTAGTTCTCTTTTCTTAGATATTCTGTAAGTTAGAGTTCTCAAAATGTTGAATAATGCCAAATAAAAGTTTAAGCAGTGAAACTTCTGCAACATAAAATTGGAGTTCCATGGTGCTAATTTGATTCTTAAAATACAGTTATTCTGGTTCTTTAAGGTATATGCCTTACTGAAATAGTTATAGGTTAAGAGGTAAAAGAACCAGAATAGAACAGTTACTCTGGTTCTTTAAGGTATATGCCTTACTGAAATAGTTACAGGTTAAATGATAATGTTATAAGGGACTTGCTTTAAAATTCTCCAGGAAAAAAAAAAAGTTGAGACTAGATGAACAATTAATAATTGGCGAAGCTAGGTTTTTTGGTTTTTTTTAATAAGTGAAAACAGTATTTTTGAATGAATGCCATAATAAACAACTTTGTTTCCAGTAGAACTTTAAAAACAAATACTCAGGCAATGTGAAGATTTTATATGGCATATAAAGAGTTCTTTGACATCACTTTACTTAAATTGTTCTAATTTCTTTTAGTGTGACCCAAATCTTCAGGTGTTCAATGTTTTCATTGATAACCTTGACACCCGTCTTCCCCGAATAGCATTATTTTCCACAAGGACCATTCATGCTGGAGAAGAGCTGACCTTTGATTATCAAATGAAAGGTATGGTCTTCAAGTATAGATTTATTGGTTTAGTTTTAACATGACCTATCAGCTAAAAGTAGAAAAAGACCTTAGATTGTCTGAACCAAACTAATAAGATGAAAGAAATACAGGTTATAAGACCTTGTCATCTTACTTAAGATCCAAAATTCCTGACAAGTAAATCTGTAACCCAGGCCTGCCTGGTTTGGGCTGGGGAATGGTCTTTTCTTTTATATCACATTGCTTCCTGACTTTTTTCAGAACTTCTGTTTTGGAAGCTGGTTCATTATAACAACTTTTTACAATGCTATGCTACTTATATTAATAGAAATTGTAAACTTACATTTCTGAATGTAAGATGTATATTCAGAAGATTTAAAGTATAATTTAAATCATAAATTTATTCCTTTACTTCTTAAATCTGTCTTTAAATGAACAGTTAATTCTGTTTGCTTTACTGTAACAATGAATATTTTCTTTCCTTTGTTTTTCTAAGAATGATGGACTTTACATATTCTTACTGCTTGACCTCACTTCATTGTGCTCTTATGTACTGTATGAAAAGAATGATTGTACATTGGATTTTCTCAGTAGGTTTCACTATGTCAGATAGCCATTCTCACAAGCATGAGCTCACAGCATACGTCTTACTTCTTACTAGCCCATACCATCCTTTCAAGGCAGTTCATAATGAATGTCTCATAATAGTCACATTTATATATTCAAAGGGGTTTCCTTGGGAGTTAACGTAATGGTCTTAAGTAAGCTCCCTTGCTAACTACTTTAAAACTAATAGAAAATTTTAAATTCATTTTAAATTGTCTTAACTCTTTCTCCTACATTTCTTTTTCTATATATTCAGGTTCTGGAGATATATCTTCAGATTCTATTGACCACAGCCCTGCCAAAAAGAGGGTCAGAACTGTGTGCAAATGTGGAGCAGTGACTTGCAGAGGTTACCTCAACTGAATTTTCAGAAAATGGGGCTGATGATAATAGTTTTGTTCTTTCCTAATGTTAACACTTTTAAAAAGTATTGGGACTCTTATATTATTAAGATTATACATGTTTATGTATAATTTATGTTCAAGACATTTGCCAAATATATTACTGTTGCTTCTGAAGAGGACAAAGGGTCATAAAGACTAACTTGAAGTGAACATATTTGGTGGTTAGATACCAAATATGGAGACAAACTTTATAGATCAACATAAGGCATACTTAAGTCTTTGAGAATAGGGAAGTGCCCCCTTCAGTGTTTGAAAAGTGTTAAACTGATGAGGTAACAGTTGCTTAGATGAAACATTCACTCTGATTTCAAAGAAACAGTTAATTCATTTCATGCAAATAGACAAGTTCTATTTTTATTACTAATACTGTTATTCCTGTTTAGTACTCACTGATCTTATATCTGATCAAATAGGTGAGACTGAGTTTTTTATATTTTTTCATTAAAACATTGGCATCTTAATGATATACTTAAGTGGTATAAAATGATTTCATATTTTGAAGCAGTCTACACCATTAGAAGGTTACATAGCTGAATCTATAATTCTTAAAGTTTTAATCCTGTAGAAAACTCCAAAATACCTTTTCTGAAGGTTCAGAATGGCTGGCTGTAAGGCTTCTTTGAAAGGACAGGACAGTGGGACCAGAAGGACTTTTTTGGAGTACCAGGCAGAGGAAATAGAGCACTAAAAGGGCACCACTTAGCATGAATTAGGAGATCCATGTTGAGGATCTCTGGTCTAAAGAGAGGAACAAGATACCTGGGGAGCAGCTGTACCTAATGATAATGTAATGTATACCAACATTACATTCTCTCAGTTTCAGGCAGTTTTAACATTTCCTTTCCACCAAATTTATTTTTGTATTTCCTGCAGATTCTTCTTAAAAAGTAATTTATATTTGAACTGACACTTGTTTTATATAAGAATTTTTTAGATGTAATAAAACTAAACTTGGCCAAAGTGTGTGCCTGAATATTGACCTATAAAGACTGAAGTGGAATTTTTTCATCCTGTGTAGTAAGACCTCAATCATGAAAATAACTTTTCATCTCATTTTTATTGTGGAATTTGTAATCACGGTCTCCAACGTGAAGATAAATGTAGCAAATAAATCTAGCTTTCAGTATTCCTAATGAAGTTGTACCTAAGCTCTAGGCTTTAATGACCCACAAAGAAGGTGAAATGGGACAATTCAAGAAAGCAACACTTCCAGTGTCTTAATTGTTAACCACTTTCTGGAGAAGCTGTATTTTATTGTTCATTATACTACTATCACATAACTGCTCTTGCACAATATAGGATAAATTATTTGCATGTTTGGGACCTCATACAGTATGTCTGATAATCAAAATTTGCAAAATGTGTCAAGAAAAAGTATATTTTATAGCATTTCTTACGTTTTCTTTATGAAAAATCCTTCAGGTAGTGTCAGTGGTGAGAAAGCATCACAGGTTTACAGGTTGCACCTCCACCTCACAGCTAAGCTCACTTTGAATTTCCATTCTCACAAGTTAAATTTAAAAAATTTTAAATTTTAAATCAGTGTTTTACTATCTAGGTATTTGATGTCAACTGGATTTTTTAAAAAATGTAAAACTGGACGGCAAGGGGAAGACTATTTTCAGTAAACTCATAGTTTAGCTTTGTCCTTGCTAATAGAAATTTAATGGGCCCTTGAGATTTTGAGTATTTGTCTTACCTTTCTATTAAAATGCTGAACTTAGGCAGTAAAATAATAGAAGCTATTTAAATGAAGCAACTGTTTGGGGCTTTAATTATTTTAAGTGAACATTTAGTTACTTCTATTTAGTTTCCTAAAGATGTCAGAATTTGTTCTCTATGTAAAACAAATACTCAAGGCTACTAGAGCAAGTTTAGAATGTAAAACTACCATGAAAGTTGTAATACTATCCTTTTCAGTATTTTTATAGGACTGCAATACACAGTAACTCAGGGTTTTCCCCCATATGCAAAATTTAGACTGTACTTTTTCTCTCTTAGTTCATTTCTCAGCAAAATAAATTCAGTTTGGCATTTGATGTTTCATACCCTAGCTTAGCTTTATTTGCTTTCGAATATTTTGTAGTCATTTCCAGTAAGGCTGTAGAAAGACATACATTCCTAACAACCTGCTGACAAGATTAATTGAAAATTCTATACAATTTATTTAAATGTTATTTTCCTTTTAGGCATTCATGCATTTGAATTTTAAAAGTAAATTAAACAGCATAATGTGGATGATACTATACTTCTGAAGTTTTGTGAACATTATTAGCAAAGAAACTTAGTTGTATTATGCTAAACTCTGCTTGGAAATGCAGAGAACTTTTAGAATTCATAGCTAATATTCATTGAGTAAGACTTAGGCCCTTTGTGTATAATACTCATGTACTTCTCATATACCTATAAGGTTGGTGTCATTTCTATATTACATCCATGGGAACAGATTATACTGGTTATGTAATGTTAACTTGCCTAAGCTCACCCAACTGCTGGGCTTTAAGTTATACTTGACTATGTGACTAGCCACTGGGTTTTTTCTGTGGTATACCTTACCTTTTTGGTGGTACTGGGGTTTAAATTCAGGGCTTCACACTTGCTAGGAAGGCGCTTTACTGCTGGAGCCATTCTGCCAAACCTATCTTGGCATTTTAAATCTTGTTTTCTTCAGTAATTTGCAGTTCTTAAAGTAAAAATCAAGTAGCCACTACAAATAATCCTGCCCATTTTCATGGTATGTATTTGCATTTTTTTGAAACATCGTAACATAGTGCTTATAAGAGCATGAACTTTTAACACCAAGTTGCTTGTGGTTAAATCCTGGCTCTGCCCCTTTTGTGAACCAACCTGTGTGCCTTAGTCACCTGTCTACCTTAAAGGGTGGTTGTGAGGGTTAAAGGAGTTTATATATAATATGTAAAAAACAAAACAAAACTTAGAGCTTTATCGCAGAGTGAGCACCACATATATTAGCTATTATTATTCTGTACTCTAAATATACACTTTAAAATCTGATCATCTCAAGTGTATTGATAAGTCTGGTTCTTAGCCTTTGAATTCATTCAGCCAGCATTTGTGCCATGCTTAGATACAAAACAAGATGATGGTGATAAAATGCTAGGAATACATTCAGAAGAATGTTTACAAGCATTGTTTGAATGCCTGCCTTAGATCATACAGCATATTACTAAAACTAAGTCCAGTATTAGTGACTGTATACAAATGGATACAGTTACATATACACATATTGTTGATCCAATACTTTTTGGTCTAATTATTATATAGCATGCTGATGATGCGTATCATTGTCAGCTTAATCTTTAAATCATGACGTGACTCAAGTGATTATCTTCTGAAATGACAGCATACCAAAATGTTTATAAAGATAAGTTATAAAACTTTATTAAATCCTTATACATAGCATAAAAGCACTGATAGGTTTTTAAGTTGAATGATTCACTGAACATACATGTAGACATTTAATTCTTAAGCATTTTTTTACACCCTAATTGTTCTAGTTTTAATTTTACCAGTGTATAAATGCCAGGGTTTTTATTTTTATTTTTTGAGAGGTTTTGCTAAATTGCCCAGGCTAGCCTATAACTCAAGGTCCCCATGAGTAGCAGGGATTACAAATACACATGACCTTGTCCAATTATTTTTGGTGGGACTGAGGTTTGAACTCAGGGCTTTACACCTCCAGTCACCAACAGTTTATTTAAATTCAAGTTTAATTTTTTGTTTTTATGACTTAAGATATAGTATATCTTGGAGAATGTTCCATATGTACTTGAAGAACTGTATTCTATTGTTAGGTAGAGTGTTCTATAAATGTCATTTAGGTCCAGTTGGCCGATGTGTCATTCAGTTCAGTTCTTCTCATTGTTTTCTGTGTATATACTAGTTCTCTTACTAAAAAAAAGTTAATATCTATAATTGTGCACTAGTTTCTTTCTCCTTTCAATTGTTTTTGCTTTATGTATCGTGAATCTGATATAAATACATCCACCTTTAGGATTCTTATGTCTTCTTGGTGAACTGGACCTTTTATCATTAGGTAATTATCTATTAATATAGTCACTCCAGCTTTCATAATTTTTTTTTTTTTTGTGGTACTGGGGTTTGAACTCAGGGCCTCATGCTTGCTGGGCAAGTGCTTTGCCACTTGAGCCATGGCCCCAGCCCTCCAGCTTTCTTTTTGTTTACATGTATCTTTATTTGTATATCCTTTTACTTTTATCTATATCACTTGAGTTGACTTTCTTATAGACAGCATATAGTTGGGTTATGATTTTTTTCCTGAGTCTTCATTGATATGTTTAGACCATTTACATGTACTGTAGTTATTATGTTTAGATTTAGTTCTACCATCTTTTGTTTTTATTCCTATTTTCCCTTTACTACCTTTTATGTTACTTGAACATTTTTACATATTGTTTTGATCCATTTTGACTTATTACTTTGTTTAGGTTTTTAATGGTTACTTGAAGGATGAGGTGTTTTAATTCTTAATTATCTAAAAGTGAGTGTTTTCTTTTCTCAATTACTATACTTTCACCTGTTGCCAGTTTTGCATATAAATATTGTAAATGTTCTTGTTTAGGTTGCTCAGCTTCTGGAGTTGAGGGAATTTCAAAATCAGAGGAGCTCTGTGAATCTGCATGTGTGCTAAGATTTAGCAGTCTTTTTTCCTCAGATATGTGTTTCCCATCACTCTGAGTAGTTGGTTCTCCAACATTGGGAATTATACTTACTTCTTCATCTTTGATATCACTGCTTTTCAAATCAGAGTGAGTATCCTTTGGGCAAAGTACATTTTGTTCCATCTGTGAGGCAGGAATATTCTCCTTCAGTTTTGGTATATAGGCACCTTTGTTCAAAGAAGTAAAATCCCCAGTGTTTCTCTCTTGGGAAGATAACAAAACAGTATCAAATTGGCTGTCTGAGCCTTGACTTCCTTGTTCTGTTATATGTGTTGACTGAGAAGAATTCTGGGAGGAGATGTGGGTTGATTCTCCATCAGAGTCACTGAAAAGCTTGGGTGACTGAGATCCCGCTGTCTCTGTGGAGGAAGGGAAGTTTTCCAAACCTTCATCTGTGATGTCCTCATTTCTTTTAAAGAATACTTCCCACCGTGGTACCTCCACATCAGCATTTTGCTGAGGAAGGTTTGCAGGGCCCAGATCTCCCTGCAGTGGTTGTGGAATTTCTAATTCTTCTTCACTTTCACTGTTGGATTCTTCACAGTCGATAAAGTTGGCCAAGAAAGAACTTGGCATACTCTCTGCTTTGCAGCATCTTGTGCCTTGTCTCAGTTTCTTAGACTGGTTTTGTGGTAGTGCAGTCATTGAAAATACTTCAGGGTGAAGAGTTAACTGGTATGGAACCTTGTGCTTTAAAGGGACTGGCAGAGAGTCATCAAAAAGATCGTCTTCCTCCTCTGTGGAACAAACAAAACAAGTGTATAGGAAATAAGGAAAAGGGAGTAAATTTGTGCTTTGAATAAAAATTTAATTTGTTGTATAATTACATTTTTAATTCTTGGGATTGCAAATAATAGGAGTGCCACTCTTCATCAAAGAGAGTAACTCACTTCCATCTTTTTGGCATTTTTATACCAGACTATTAGTGTAAAATATAGATCAGTGGTTCTTAAAGCCAATCATTAGAATCATTGGGAGAGCTTTTTCAAAATACACAAGTTTCTATAATCTCACTCTAGAAAGTCTCTGGTGAAAGTAGGACCAAATTTATTTTTGCTTCAACCAGGTTTGCAAACTAATCTGCAAACAGTAGGTGCTCAGTCAGTTGGCTGATGTAATTTTTCAAAAGGATAGGTTATTTTTACCCCCCTCTATAAACATTTCATTAATATTTTGTACACAGGCTGTGACATATCAGTAAGAGAATGCACAGGTTCTCTCACTTGAAGTAAAAGCTGGGCCAAGGATATAGCTCAGTGGAGAGCACCTTCCTAACATGCTTAAGGCCTTGGATTGAGTCTCCAGCACTGCCAAGAAAAAAAAAATTAATAAAATGCATTTAACTGATTTTTTAAATCACCCTACATCAGCATATAGTAAACCTAATCCACTTAAACAATGGTATTCTCAAAAGAAAAAAAATGGTTTTTCTCTTAATGTATAAAATCTTCCATAAATTACATTGTAAAGGTATAGAATTAGGAGGAAAAGAAATATTTTCGCAGTTTCTAAAGGCGTCTAACCTAGGAAGGAAATTAAATGACCATGAGACTACTATGTGTGGCAACATCTTGTTCTATTGCCGAGTTGTGTTAACTTATAAATAACCAGCTCTTTAAAAGATAACTATGTTCCCAATGATCATGGATGAAAGTTAACACTGCATTTTTTGTTTGTTTTTTGGTGGGGTTTGAACTCAGGGCCTTTCTCAGGACACTTGCTAGCCAGGTGCTCTTCCACTTGAGCCACTCTGCCAGCCCTAAAGCACTACATTTTTAATGAACTATAGAGACCATCATCCAGCATCTCCTTTAGCAGTGGAACAGGCCCAGAGGAAGGGCATGCCAATATAGAGGCCAAACCTAATTCTTAAAGTCCTTTGTTCTGTTGTGCTTTAAAATCAGTCTTACCTTTCATTCCTAAAGGACATGAGGTGACTAAGATGTTTAGTTGCTATAGTTAGAATCATCCTAGTCTCCAGAAGATGGCTTTATTTTAAGTCATGGATCATAATTTGTTTTGTCAGTCATGTTTTTATGAAATGTTTGTATAGTCTCTAAGTTGGACAATCCTGTGTTCTGGATCAGTGACTGTCCCAGTATTATGTTTCATCTGTACAGTCCTTCCTTGTCAAAACATTTTCACATCACCTTTCCTATATGAGTCTAAAAAACAAGTTTATATAGCCTTAACAATTCAATTTGAATCTTACATAATGTACTCTGTTATGGCTTCTGTGTTCTGATCATATAAAAGTCAAAACTTTATGAAAATAGGCATATAATATGGAGAAAGTGTCAAAATCCTTCAGTTTTACCCATGCTGATAATAAAAATATCTAAAAGCAATTTTAAAAAGACAAATGTCATAACTCATACTTTTCACCATTGCACATTGCTGTCTAGAAAAACTGGTCAAATCATACTAGAAAGCAATTTAGAAACTTGGCAATATGTGTTAAGTATCTTAATTTCTACAATTTAATCCAATAATGACAGATTTGAAATAGACTTACAAAGTTGCTCATCACATTATTTATAAAACTAAAAAGTATAAAAATAATCTAAATGTATGACAAATCAGCATTCATAATTCAAAACTTTTGTAATCACAATGGAAAGAGTAACACAAGAAAATCTAAAAGTATTTGAAGTAAAAAATACATAATATAGGAATATTTATAACAGTGATACAAACTGCCTGTATGCACCTACACAGCCTTAAAGTTGTTATATGACTGAAATGGTTTCATCATTTCCTTCCCTTGGGCCCAAATGTGCTGTCCACTGCTACCTTGTGCACTCCCTAAGAATCACTGAGAACTTGAGGACACTGCTCTAGTATTTTCAATGTTCTTATCGACTGGAATCAGTGTTGCTTTCTAAACATTTTTCAACATCACCCTACATCACCCCTCTGGGTTTTGTGAATGTATAAATGAATAGAAAAGACAAGGGGAATACAATAAAATACTAATCAGAATAGTTGAGATTTGTGTGGCTCTGTATGACCTTTTATTTTCTAAATCATCTACAGTGAGTACATACGACCTTTATAGAGGAACAAAAAGTTATTTTATAAAAGTGATCAATGAAGGTAAGTGTAATAGTGGTAAACTATTAAATTATGTAAAGATAAAACAACACAAAAAGCTTTTAAAAAGAGACTTAAGAGGGCTGGTGGAGGGGCTTAAGTGGTAGAGTACCTGCCCAGCAAGCCTAGCAAGCATAGGGTGCTAAGTTAAAAAAAAAACTGTAAAAAGAGTCTTAAGAAGAATGACTTCTGAACTCATACCTCATTTTCTGTGACAGAAATACAAATCTTAAAGCAACTGATTTTAGAACTACACATATATTGGCACAGACCTGAATCAACATTTCAGAAAAAAGAAACGACTCCAGCTTTTGCATTAAGGACTTTTTAAACAAAGAGAAGTCTAAAGCATATGAAAAGAAAATATTTAAATAGAACCCAATGACTAGATAAACTGGAGTAGTCAATGAAACCAAGTTGTTCTTTGAGAAGATCAGTAAAATTGGCAAGCCTCTAGTCAAACTGATAAGAAAAAAATGAAAAAAGACAAATTACTAATATCCAGAGTGAGAGATTTGATATCATTAGATTCTACAAGTTTTAAAACAGTAAGGAATATTATGAAAAGGTTTATGCCAAAAATAGCAGCAGCTTGAATAAAATGGAAAAATTTCTTTGTAAGATTCATATTACTAAAGTTTACTCAAGAAAACAACCTGAACAACCAACCGTTCATGCCTACTCATGAAATCAAATATTTAAGGACTGGAGGTGTGGCTCAAGTGGTAGTACACCTGCCCAGCAACCATGAGGTTCTAAATGCAAAACACAGTACTACAAAAAAAAAATCACATTTTGTAGTTAAAACATTTCCACAAAGAAAATCCTGACCTACGTGGCTTCACCAGTAAATCTTACCAATCATTTAAGAAAGATGCCAATCTGTCAGAAAGGAAGAGGACAGTGAGGCCAGCGGTATCCTTATACCAAACTACACAGATACTAGGGGGGTGGGGTGGAATATCAAACCATTATCTTTCCTGAAAAGAGGTGGAATCATTTTAGCAACATAATTTTAGCAAAACAAGCCTGATCTAAGAAGGCCATATCACAAAGGAATGACAATCCAAATCTGGCTGCTATAGACCAGCAGGGCTTTGCCCAGAATCTGAAGTTCTGATTTCTATTTCAGAGCTTATCTCAGTTTTTCACTGAAAAATGGAAGTAGTAATGAAAGAAGGTAGAAAATTATAGAGAAAAAGCCATCTGTAGAATACCACTGATCAATCCACAAATGACAAAGTCTCCATTTTCAGCATTTACTAGTATCTTCTTGATGGAAATGTTGAAGGGTAGCAACCCAGCCTCCCCTTATGATCTATACCAGTCACAGGGAATATTTTCAGAAAACTCAGAATGCTGTACATGGTTTTTACTATATTTTATATCTCCAGTGGACATCAGACTCTTGCCTTTACAGTTTGAAGACGAGGCAGAACCCTACCCAAGGCCAAGACTGTGTGACATGTATGAAGTAGAGAGGGGCCACGTCTGCTTTGCCCAGAGCCACTTTTCACCAGATAGCATCCTGAAGAACAGTCCTTGCAGGAACCCACACCACCGGACCCAGAATCATTCTTACCAGAGTCGAGGTGGATTGTTTTAGCTCTCTTCAGTTTTCCAAGTGGTTTGTACTTTGGCTCAGTACTTTGGGAAGATCTGCACAAAGGCTTTAAGCTGAAATAAATCATAATACTTCATTTTGGAAAAGCTGCTGGAAGATCAGCAATATTTAAAGAAATTAGAAAAATAGCCATAAGGGAAATCATAGTACTTTTAAGAGATGAAAGCAATGTTTCATAAATAAAAATCAGTTCAATATAATAAAGTGAAATATAAGTACTTAAATATTACCCAGTAGGTACTGTCTGTTAGGATTAAGGCAGACAGACATCATCAGTAGACTATAGCAAAACTTAGGTCTTTGTTCTTGGAATGCAGAAAAATACATCCCTATTCTAAAATGCTAAGTAATGCAATGTACCCGGTGTTCAGGGACTGTATTACTGCTGGCTGCTTCCCCTTCCCTGTTTAATGGGGTTTACTTCTATCATGCAAGAGCCTCGCAAACTGTATCTATGTTCTCGTGTCCATAATGGGTTCTGGCTTCATCCCATTTGACCCCTCTATAACCTCTGCAGCATTTCAACTATTCTCCTTGGGTAACTTTTTCAAAGTGAGGTCATTACCTACCTACCTACAGTAGAATTGCTTGATAGAAATAGAAGATAGGAAAATACACATTTACAAGCACTCCAAGTGATTAAGTATACTCAAGTTTAACTCCACAAGGCATATTTAAATCTGTTATTTTATCTGTTGCCTCCAGTTACCATCTTGTAACTTTCTCTGTGCTATCAAGTTTTTCAAAGAATAGCCTATCTCAGTAATTCTTCACTTGCTCACTTTTTATCCATTTTACAAACAATTACAATCTGGTTCCTAACTCACAATTCTCCTAAAACCTCTCATTGAGCATGCATAATGGCCTAATTACCAAGATAATGATGACAGACCTCATATCCCAGTAGTATTTGACTTCCCAGTAGTAATTGCCCACTGATACTTTGCCTCAACTTTGCCTTTCCTGGTCCTCCCACTGTCTGGGCCACTCTGTCACCATCTCTTTCCAGCTCCTTTTCCTTTACCTGCTACCCAGAGTTCTGGCCTCGCTTTGTTCTCTCCTTCTTGATCTCTCTGGTAATTGCCTTTGTCCTCGTGATTTCAGTTTCCATCCCCATTGCCAACTTTAAATCTCTGTCTTCCACCCAGGCCTTTCTCCAGAGTCCTGGATTCTGTTTTCAACAAACATTGGGAAGCCTGGTGCTGTATGTCCTCATCAGTTTCTGGGGCAGACTTCCTGACAGTAAGACAACTTCCTTTATGACCCCTAGCAGCTTGTGTATGGGATGCCTCCATTTATACCAGGCCTTCTCAACAAAACTCTAGAGTTCTGAAGGATAGTTTGTGTCCTAGTCAAGGGACTTCTATCCCAACCACTCTGCCTAACAAGAGAGTTGGCACTAAAGTATTTAATGAATGGATGAATTAAATTTTAAATGAGTGATGGTGAGCATGGTACAGTGTACCCCTGTAATCCAGGAGGCTAAGGAAGGAAGATCATGAGTTCAAAGCCAGCCTGGACTACACAGACCCTGCCTTAAAAAACAAAACAGCAAAACAACAAAAGACCCCAAAGAGGTGTAAATGGTCATAGTAAAAGACATCTTATTACACTGTTTTACCTCTCCTTTGTGTTTTATTTATCCATTCCATAGAAACCTATACTGACCCCCTACTTGGCCCCACTAGGTGCTTTTCATATGTCATCCCTAAATATCTGAGAGAGCCAGTAAGTAGGCATGAATGAATAGTCCTAATTTGCTGATTAAAACTGACTAGTTCAGAGAGGTAATCTGGCCAAGGTCATACTGCAAGTAAATGGTGGAGCTAGGGTTCAGCCCAGCACAAGCTGGCAACATTACCTGTATACTCTGCCACACTATAAATGAAAGGGGAAAGTGGAAATGAATGCAAGGTCAAAGCAGTTACAACAGAAACAGGTTCTCAATTTATAAACTTTTAGGCAAAACTATCCTTTGTCTCCTAGTCAAGTTATTAAGGGAGGGATGTGAGTCCACAAGTAGAAACTACTCACATTTCTTTAACTTTATCCATGGTTGTGCCTACTGGAATGACATTTGGATATGCATTTACAGGACAGATGTAGCTCAAGAAGTCTTTAATCTAGAAGGAACATAAAAGGACCAGTTGTCTTTATAAAAAAAACGGTGTCAGAGAAGAGGAAAGGAGGCCATGGGAAAGAGAAGCAGAATTTTTGCTGTGTGGTTCTTAGTGCTGGCTGCACAGAGAGATCAACTGGGAACCTCTAAAAGAAAACACCCAGACCTTACTGTCCCAAATCCTCCAACACTGCACTAGAGTAGAGCTTGGTAGTCAGCACATGCAAGCTTTGCTCAGGTAACTCTACTCCACAGTAAGAACTGAGAAACCCTGATTAATGGGAGTCGAAGATTCTCTTTTTCTAATATAACCTTAGTTTCCTTGCCCAAGAAGGTTACTCATATTTATCAAATCCCTTTTCAGATGAGTTAGAACATAACTGAGTATTAGCTATAATACATATAAGAAAACAAGGTCTTAGAATTGCATTTCTTTTCTCCTACAAATAAGCATTACCAAGGGAATTGCATCTTGGAGGTTACTTGATTTGTTCTTGTGGTTTAATCTTGCTGAGCCCAACAACATGCACTGGTTACCAAACATGAGGGAGGAGCCAAACTTCTCCCAACTACATCTCGTTCACTGGAGTACCCAAGGAAAGCACAATAAATACTGTCAAGCCTGGAGGGAACAACACTTGACTTACAGAGACTAGAGCAAGACTGGCTCCCTTAGTGTGCGTTAGTCCGCCGTGGCCAGTGGGTCTTCGCCAAGAGCCAACTCAGGGCAGTTTGCCTCTGTGCACTCCTCTCCAGCCCACAGGAAGGATCCCTTGCCCTCTCCCGTAGTCTGAAATATGCCTCCTTGCAGGAAATGTTCCAGGCCCAAACCTACACTGGTGTGGTCAACTAGGGCCTGAAAGACTACACATAGGATTGCTTTTCTGCAAAATTCTAAAGATTTACATGAAAAAATTTCTTATTCAACGTGCATTTTCTCCATAAGGTACATCACTGCCTTCTTGTGCTTAGGAATACTAAGTAGTTCTTCAGTATTACCAGTGGGTGCCATTTTAAATACTGAAATCACCAATAAAAAGCACAAAAATTTTAAAGCTGTGGCATCCAATGGATCACAGAAAGGATACTTGTTTACAATAGGAGAGTTAAAATAAGAAGGCAGAGTGTTGCCTTGTTTGTTTGGAGCTGGGAACATGTATGTCAGATGCCTCAAAATTTTCACCACTCCACCTGACTGCAAATGACTCCTACAGCACTGCAAACTGATATTAGGGTTACAGGGAGATTGTAGTGAGTAGGCAAGCACAGAAATACAGAATCTGTGAATAATGAGAATTAACAGTTTTCAGGAAAGAAACTGAAAGGAAATGAGATTTAAATAGAGAAAGTGACTGCAAGGGAACAATCATCAACCATGAAGGCTGCAGAACAGCCAACCATAGTAGGGTTATGAGTTTACTGGATCCTCTTACCTCACTGAAGGAGGAGTGAAAAGAAAAACAAGCTCTGTAGGAACTCTCTCCAGTCCTAAAGGGAAATGAAAACACAAAAAAAGTTACTTATCGAAACCAAGCTAAATTCTAAGCACTGGCCTCTCTCTTTTTGGGGCTCTTCAGTGTGAAATCCTTAAAGCAGGAATTTCTTCTTGGGACAGAAGTGAACTTTTTCCAGAAACAGAAATCTGCTGTAGACATTCTCAACAACCAAAAGTCAAGAAAATGTTGCTAAGGTACTATGATCGCTAGAACCTCCTCTACTCCACCAAGTGCTTCTATTCTTGCAACATTAATTTGTAACTCATGGCCGAACACTCACATACCCTCAGGCTCCAACCACCTTATCTCCCCCCTGGGACAGACTCTGCATGTACTTACTGGCTAACGTAATAGGTTTAACCGAAGAAACTACTTCCTACAATTATATCCTCTTCTGGGGCTTAGGTTAGCCTGTATCTAAACGACATTAAATCAAACATTCTATCTCACAGTATTTCTCAGAACACCTACAGCATTGCTTTCTTACCTGACAATTACATTTGTTTTTCTGGTTCTTTCTCCAAACCACATGGTGGATGGCTTAATGCTGATCGTGTGCAGTGGAATTTTATTTTTGGAAATCATTCCACAGGGTAATTTATTCCACTGAAAATACTCCTCTGCCTAAAAAAGGATTAAAATAAAGTTATATATTTTCAACAATTTGTTTCTAAGCAGGTTCTCAAAAAACAAATATAAGTAAGTTGGGTGTCAGTGGCTCGCGCTTGTAATCCTAGCTGCTCATCAGGCAGACATCAGGAGGATTGTGGTTCAAAGCCAGCACAGGCAAATAGTTTGCAAAATCCTATCTTGAAAATAACCAACACAAAACTGGGCTGGCAGGAGTGGCTCAAGTGGTAGAGTGCTTGCTTGCCTAGCAAGCATGAGGCCTGGAGTTCAAACACTAATTCTGTGAAAAATAAAAATACAAACATAAATAAGTTAACAAACATGAAAAAAACAGACATGAGGAAACAATCAGATAATTCAAAATTGAGAAACATTCTGCATAACAATTGGCCTGGACCAATCTTCAAAGCTATTGATATGAGGAAAGAAGCAAAGGCTGCATAAGGGCTGGTGGAGTGGCTCAAGTGGTAAGAGCGCCTGCTTAGCAAGCATGACTCCCTGAGTTCAAAAAAAAAAAGAAGATTAAAAAAAAGGCTAGAGACATGATCTACATTAAGGGGGTCTTTGGGCCTGCCTGAATGCAATGCATGACCCTAGATGTCTCTATTCCTCATAAGCTACAAAGGATACTATTAGGACAGTTGGGAACATCTGAATATGGAGTGTATATTAGCTAACAGGATTGTTTTCCTGAGTAGGGACTCTTACTGTGCTTATGTAAGAAAATGTTCTTAAGGAATCTATGCTGAGTGGTAAAGGGTGAACTGCCATAAAGTCTGCCACTTACTCTCAAAAGGTTTAGGTACAGAGGGTATGGTTAGAGAGAACTAGCACAAATGTGGCATTATGTTAAAGTGGTGAATCCAGAAGAGAACACAGTATTGTTCTACTAGTCTTATAACTTTACTGTTTAAAAATGTTTAAGCTCACGCTTGTCATCCTAGCTACTTAGGAGGCTGAGATGGGGGTGGGGAGATGACAGCTCAAGGCCAGCCTGGACAAAAAGTTCATGAGACCGCTGCCCCCCGCCCCCGCAATCTCAACCAATGGCTGGGCACAGTGGTGCACAACAGTCATCCCAAGCTACATGGGAGACGAAGATCAGAAGATCACAGTTCCAGGCCAGCCCAGGCAAAAAGGTGTCACCAAAAAAAAAAAAAAAAAAAAGATTTATAGGGCATGGGGCAAAAAAAACACAAGTCCACACAGAAAAAAACAGTTCACATTTTTAAATCTACTTTGTAATCCACCCAAGGATCCACTGTGTGTACGTATGTATGTATGTTTACATGTGCATGTGTATATAATTGTTTATATGTAATGATTAAATTCATGCATGCAAGTTATAATACATAGCTTACCTTTCATCAAAAGTAATTTACCAGCGTCTTGCACCCTGTGACCTCAAGTAGAACATCCCATGTTGTCCATATGAATTCTTTTTGTTGTTGTTGTTTAAACTTGTGCTTTATGATAAGGGCCAAGCAGCTGTACTTAAGATTTTAGCTGATGAGGTCAATAGTCCTATCTCAATGTATAAATGAAGTGTCTGCTAAAAAAAATTACCCAGCCAGCCTTTGAGTGCTAAGATACTTAAAAATTTAGAGGAAAATTATGTTTCTCTCATATCATTGCATTTTGAAGGTAACTAATCTTTTTTTTTTTTTTAGAATATACATAACATAAAATTTACCATTTTAACCATTACAAAGTGTTCACAGTTCAGTGTCATTAACTACATTCGCTTTGTTGTGCAACCAACACCACTATGCATCACCAAAACCTCTCTCTCTTCCTATAAAGAAACTCTGTCCCCATTTTCCCCTGCCCCTCAGTCCTGGCAATCACCATTCTACTTCCTCTCTCTACGAATCTGTCTACTCAAGATATTTCATATAAGGGGAACTTATATCTAGATATTTATCTCAAATGAGGAGAAGACAAAAGTTTATAAACATGTATGTGTCATGTGTCTCAAAAATAAATAGCAGTGGAACATGAATGTATTTGCATATATTGTAGGCTATCACATATGACCAATTACATTACAAATAAACTTTCCTTCTCATGTGTATATGAATAAATTTCTTTAAAAACTGTAAGGATCTATGTCTATTACTAGTTGTGAAGTGCATGTTAGTGAAATACAGTCACCTATCGCTGCATGACCTTGAGCTAACAATTTAGGTTCGTGATGAGCCTCAAAATGTAATGTCCAAGATTCCTTCTTGACCTAAAGTTCTGCTTTTGATGGATCCCATGAGCTGTTTGGAAGAATAGTCAGCTACGCAGGTACCTTTGGGTGCCGACACGCGTGGATCTGGGTGCTACGATCTGTGGTGAGATGATGGAGAATGTCGGGCATGTTTCTAAACATGTCTAGCTTGCCCACGTGAACCTACACATGAAAACACACACAAAGCAACCTCTTCAAAACACACTCTAAGAATAAACCATGCAAGGATGATCATACGCCAACAGCTAAATAGTGGGCGAACCTCTTCTTTCTCGCGACCTAGCTTTTAACTATTTCAGTGCCCATTCATATTCTGCTAGGATGTCAATAGGCAGAGGATTCAGCTCGTGGGTTCCACTTGATTGTGCAAATACGATCCTTTAATTCAATTCAGATTTCTTGTGCACCTAGTACACAACAAGCTTGATTTTAAATCCTAAGTATGTAACGGTGAGCAAAACAGGCAAGGACAATGAAGAATCATCCCCTTCTGAAGATAAGCACACACACAGTGAGCCACAGAGGGGCAACTGATGGGGGAAGACAGTGGGATGAGCACCCAGGCCCAGGTCCCCATACCATACACTGCTTAATGGGGCACAGAGAGGGAAGATGCAGAAGAACAAACATTTAAACCTTGGCCACTGTTAGAATTTTAAGGCCAATAACATTTTAAAGTGTTCAAACCACTGTGTCAGGTTTACTTAAAGCTTCTGGGTACTCCAAAGTATGTTACCAGCACCTAAACTGATATAAAGATTATAAAATGGCAAAAAAAGAAGCAGTCTCACTTTGCTGTCTGAATAACAAACACATCAGAATAATGTCAAACTGCTGTGCTGATACCCAGGCAGGTATAAAAAGAATACAAGCATGACTGTTTATCTTATGGCCCCTTCCACTCACTACCTATTTATTAGTGACCAATAAGAAGCAAAGATGAGCTGGCCATGGTGGTACAGTCCCATAATCCCAGCACCTGGGAGACTGAGGCAGAAGGATTTCAAGTTCCAAGTCAGCCTAGGTTACATAGCAAAACCCTGTCTCAAGAAAAAGAAAAAAAAAAGAAAGGGAGGGGAGGGAAAAAGGAAGGAAGAGAAAGGGAAGGGAAGGGGAAAGTGTAAGAAAAGAAAAGAAAAAACCTGTTCTCCCTTTTTAAATTCCCAACAAAACTGCCTCAGAGGAAACTTGGGTCCCCACCACAGGCCTCTCCCTGAGCCCCTTCTCAGCCTACAGTTTCCTCCTCCACAGGCTTTATAACAGTAGCTTTCAGTCTTTTCCATGTCACACACAACTAAAATTATAACACAAATTTGGTAGTGACAAATAGGTGGTACCTCAAGGCTTTACACTATAAGGCATGGGAGGGAAAAAACACCCAGCAGATAGTATACAAAAGTACTCGTGAGCATTTTTGAACACTGTCATCACTTTGATTTTAATTTAAAAGGTCATTGTCACATCAAAGACATACAAAGGACATTCTCAGAATACAAACAAATCCTTCCTTGAATGGAGAACTGACCACCAGCCACTAATACTCAAACAGAGGACTCAGGAAATAAAGGTAGGAAGGGAGGGAGAAGGGACGAACTTTTGAAATTTTAAATTCCAAAAAACTAGAACATTTTAACTTACTAAAATACATGACATAGAACTGTTAGTTTGGGGCCTAAGTTTGTTAGCTGGGAGACCTACATGAAAATGTACAAAATTAAGTAGAATATAAACGTCCATCCGCTCTCAGTACTTCATTTTGTTCACAATCATTACAAATCTATCTTCTCTTGGGGACAAAGGCTCAAAACACACCGTTCAATGAGCCCTATAGGTAGTGGGGAGGGGGGGTTCTTGTTGGACAGCCACCCACACACACTCGATGCTTTGCCGCTCTGAGTCTAGGAGTTTGGCGTGGAGCAAGTGGGATGGAGCCATCTGGAAGAACACTTGAGACCACCTGCAAACCCAACATGCATCCACTGGCTTGGCTCAGGACCCAAGACTCCAAGACAACACTCTTCATGTCTTGTTGACCATGACCCATAGCAGGAAAAATGATTTCCACAGCAACCCAGCACACACAAGTACATGTTTGTGTCTGAGTCCTACGTAAACTTTCATAGAGAGACCGTTATCTTGACTGCAAGCTACACACTCAGAGATCTCCTAACTCAAATATACTTTCAATGCAGATCACTGGGTTTATTTCATGACCCACAATTTGAAAAAAGAATACTTCCTCTGTGGGGCATTTCATTGAAGACTTCTACGCCTTTTGGGCTTCTATGATTTTGCTCCTATGAGGACATGAGTTAACAAAGATGGGATATGACTTCTGAGGGGCCACCTACCTCTGCTGCAGCCAGGTGTGGACAAGCTGCTCCCACCTGGCACTGTTTTCAGTATTTGCGGGTGGGGAGGAAAGGGAAAAAGGAAGTTGAGAGGATGAAAGGGAAAGAGTGACGGCCACATTACCTGGACTCCCAGTTCTTCACTAAGGTTGGTGAACAGATATTCGTAGCCATAAGCTGCCTTACAGTTGAGCCACACAACGTGGTACGGACTCCTAGTGATCCAGCTTCGAACCAGCTCTAAAATTCCACTTAAACACTCTCCCTAGACGGGATTTTTAAAGAACATTTAACACTTGAACAACCTCACTTACCCTTTTCCTCCCCAACATTTGAAGGTGTCCATGCCAGGGATGACAACTACGAGCTGATGTGTTGTCATCCTACACACTTGACTACACACGTGGCCACGCCCAGGTCGTCACCCCAGTTCTGCAGGCAGACTTACGCGACTTGGAATTTGATAAAACCTTGGATCACAGAAAGTAGTGTCTAAATATACACTTTGGATGTCTTTTACTCTGAAAAAAAACAAAACTGGTGTTAGCAATATAATGTGACATAAATTGTGTACAAGATTTAAGTTCTCAGGTATTTTACAGGGCATTCTGTTCCATTTGACCTGCTTCTGTTAATCAACTTTATTAGGAAATAATTTCCAAACAGTAAATAAAGATTTTGCATGAATGACCCAGTGAATTTCCACAAATTCATGTAACTACAACATTCAGTCAATATATAGAAAGTTCTACTGCCCCATTTCAAGGAGGAAAATTCACTTCATTAGAATTATTATAATCAAATTTGTTTTGTCTTTTTTTTTTTGCATTATTGGGAAATGAACTCAGAACCTCATGCTTGCTAGGTAAGCACTCTATCACTTGAGCCTAGTCTTTCTGGTTTGTTTTTCTGATAGGGTCTCGTGCTAACTTTGCCTGGGCCAGCCTCGGACCACGATCCTCCTATCTCCCCAGTGCTAAGAAACTAGGATCACAGGCCCAAAACTTGATTTTGATAGAAACAAAGGCTTGTGTTTGGTGGGAAAAGAGCAATAACACTTTTTAAACTATGCAGTATTACCTTACACAATTCAAGAATTATACCAGGTACTGTACCTGCCCCCAGAATGCAGAAGCTCCATTCTGGCAGCTTCTCCTTTTGCCAACCTGAAGTCTCCTGTGTACAGGACAGTTCCATTATTGCCCTGAAATAAAAACCTGAAAAGGAAATAGATGTCAATGACTTCCAAATCTCAAGCAAAGTCCTAACAAAAGCAAATGCATACTACATCTATAGCAAAGGCTTCCTGCCAAACATCCCTATGGTACAAGTGTTAATGGAATTTCAATAGCTCTAAGTCCACACCAGCATTTAACTGCCACTTCTTCAATACAGTAGAAAGAAATGACAGAATGGAGATACAACTGCGTTTGTAATAGGTGTGCCCTGTAATATGTTAGCACTTGAAATCTGGAGAGAAATTCTCATGTGAAAAGACAATTCGAAGTCACTAGAGAAAGAACTACTGGAGAGGACCACCATAAGAAAACCACATCTCAAACTTCACCTTAGTCTCCCAAGTTGAAAACAAAAATTAAAGACACTGCCAGAAAATAGTGAAATCTCCTTATACATGTCATTGTTTAGGCCCTAAAAATTTTATTTCTATAAATATAATGCATTTGCACATAACAAAATAGCAAAATAAAGGAGCCCACTTACATAACTGATCCTGGGCAGTGACCAGCTGGCAAGAGAGTCACAACAATCTCTTCCTGCTAAAAAGCAAATAGAGAAAAAAAATAACAAGAGTTATCAATGGGATCTAGGCAAATATAGCAAATACCTGTCCTCTCCCCCCTTCCTCACTCTACAAATCCTGGAAATGAGTGGAATCCTTGTCCACGCAACAGTTAAACATAGAGGTACCACAGGATTGAGCAATTCCGCTTCTACTAGTTATATACTCAAGGGAACTGAAGCTTAAGCTTCACACATAAAAATATGTACACAGAATGTCCACAACATAATTATTCATACTAGCCAAAAAGTGGAGACAGTCAAAATTTCCTCCAACTGAGGAATGAACAAACAAAATGTGGTCTGTCGTAGCATGGAATATTCTTTGGTCATAAAAAAGGATAAAGTACTGACGTGTGCCACATATACAGCTGCATCCACATACCTGGATGTCCCTTGAGCACATGCTCAGGGAAAGATGCCAGACACAGATGGCCACGTGTTTGTTATGATTCCACTGATACCAAACGCCCAGAGCAGGCAAGTCATAGAGACAGACAGTAGAATAGTGGTTACCAGGAGCTAGGGACAAGAGGGGAATGCGGAGTGACTGCAATGGGTACAGGTTTTCTCTTTTGGGTGATGAAAATATTGTAAAAGTGATTGTGATGAGGGCTGTACAACTCTATGAGTATACTAAAAGCCATTAAATGGGTGAACTGCGTGGGTGAATATTCCAATAAAGCTGTTTTTTTAAAGGCCTGGATGTAGCCTGGTTCCATCTGAGCACACAGGACATCCTATTGTCCCCTGGGACAGAGCCTGCTGGGCACTGCTGACCTCAGGGACTCCGCACTTAAGCGCCGCGCATGAATCTGACACCACTCATTCTGAAGGCCCCTTTCAAATGGGGTCCCTCACTGATTGGGGCTGCACAAGAAACACGCAGACCAAGGAGAAACAGGACTGTGTCACTCTGCCCACCAAGAGCCTGCCTGCTGTAGAGAGAGAGAGAGAGAGAGAGAGAGAGAGAGAGAGAGAGAGAGAGAGAGAGAGAGAGAGAGAGAGAGAGAGAGAGAGAGAGAGAGAGAGAGAGAGAGAGAGAGAGAGAGAGAGAGAGAGAGAGAGAGAGAGAGAGAGAGAGAGAGAGAGAGAGAGAGAGAGAGAGAGAGAGAGAGAGAGAGAGAGAGAGAGAGAGAGAGAGAGAGAGAGAGAGAGAGAGAGAGAGAGAGAGAGAGAGAGAGAGAGAGAGAGAGAGAGAGAGAGAGAGAGAGAGAGAGAGAGAGAGAGAGAGAGAGAAGAGAGAGAGAGAGAGAGAGAGAGAGAGAGAGAGAGAGAGAGAGAGGAGAGAGAGAGAGAGAGAGAGAGAGAGAGAGAGAGAGAGAGAGAGAGAGAGAGAGAGAGAGAGAGAGAGAGAGAGAGAGAGAGAGAGAGAGAGAGAGAGAGAGAGAGAGAGAGAGAGAGAGAGAGAGAGAGAGAGAGAGAGAGAGAGAGAGAGAGAGAGAGAGAGAGAGAGAGAGAGAGAGAGAGAGAGAGAGAGAGAGAGAGAGAGAGAGAGAGAGAGAGAGAGAGAGAGAGAGAGAGAGAGAGAGAGAGAGAGAGAGAGAGAGAGAGAGAGAGAGAGAGAGAGAGAGAGAGAGAGAGAGAGAGAGAGAGAGAGAGAGAGAGAGAGAACTCTGTAGCCCAGGCCGACCTCAAACCCATGAAACCCATGATCCTGCTTCAACCTCCCGGTGCCGGGCTTACAGGACGCACCAGGACACCTCACTTTGCCGCCCAGCTTTGAGGAAGCCCTCCGCACGCACCCCCGCACACGTCAGGACCGTGCGTGAATTACAATATTCTCTGATAAAGCATCAAGCCAAGTCCAGTTAGCGTTTAGAAAGGTCCAGGCCATCCTTCCTTTTTTTCTTGTTAGCCCGTACCACACTTGTTCCTTTTTATTTTTTTTCACCCGTGTCTCGGCGTTTGAGGATTGAACCGGCGAACAGGAAGCCGCCAGCACCCAAGACATGGCACCGAGGGGGGAAGTGGGACCACACACCAGTCCCCGCCACGAAAAGGAGGGCCACACTTATTCTTATGGTTTCCCTTCAGGATAAAAATGGGATGAGAGGACTCCTTCAGCTGTCTGATCTTCCGTCATCTCTGTTCTTATCCCACTCTCGTGCGCAAGACACCCTGGAGCTCCACACACGACAGCCATGCTGGGCCAGGTGTGCTGGGGCTTGCCTGTGAGTCCAGCCACTCGGGAGGCTGCAGGTAGGACGATCACAGTCCAGGCGGGCCACGTATAAATGTGAGGCCCCACCTGAGGTGTGGCTCAAACACCCGCCTAGCGAGTGCAAGGCCCCGAGTTCAAACCTCCTACCGCCAAAAAAAACCCAAAAAAGCAACATGTTAGAACTATTCAACAGGACAAATGTAATTAGATTTAGGATAACAAGAAAATCCCTCGTAGCCCTAGGTTTTATAAGAATTTTGTTTTGTTTAAAAAAAACAAGGCAGGCCCATAGTCCTATTTATTATTAAAACAACACATTCACAAAGTACTACCTCTAAATATAAGGATGAAAAATAAAAGTTTATCCATTGGCACAGTAATTATTTTTGAATTAAGAAAATGATTCTGGACGGGAGGTGTGGCTCAAGTGGTAGAGCACCTGCTTTGTAAGCCTGAAGCCTGAGTTCAAAAACCAAAAACAAACAAAAAAAAAGAAAATGACTCAAGAAAAATTAGAGCATACATGAATTTGCTTCAAAAATACTAATCACTATCTTATATACCCAAACATTATAATAAACTTAATAAATGTGATAATGATATCACTTAGTTTATTAACAACTGGGGTTCCCATCACGAGCATGTAATGTAAAAAAAGAAAAAAGGAGCAATTTTGACAAAAAAAAATAAGCCACATCCCAATATTTCAATGTAGGAGATAAGTATATCGCCGTTACTGACTGAATATTTGTGTACATTTCAAAATTCAGGAGTTGAAATCCTAGCCTCGAAGGTGATTTTATTAGGAGGCTTTGAGGAAGTGATCAGTTCTTGAAGGAGGGCCCCCATGACTGGGATCCGTGTCCACTAAAGGGGAATGCTTTTACCCCTCTCACCATGTGAAGACACAGGGAAAAGACAGCTGTCTGGGAACTAGAAATACAAGAGACATCCACTCTGCAGTATTTTTTGTGATAGCGACCCACAATGGACTAAAATAATCACAAATGTTTTGGTTGGTTTTTTTTCTAAAAAAACTCAATTCATAAATTTTTATTCATGGTTAAATGACCATTCCAAATCAAAGAGAAAATCATTGAGCACTCAAAAGAAAACCCAAAGTAGTTAATATTTGGTTACCTCTCCTGATGCTTCATCAACTAAAGATATCTGGGTAGGAGTTTCAATTTCAATTGATATCTATTAAGATAAAATAAAAGATTGTGCTTATATCAGTTTCCCATGCCTTTTAAAAAAATTTCAAAATATTTTTAAAACAGGTCACACTAAGCTTTTGGCCCATTCCGCCATTGTACAAGCTACGAATGCTGCTCAGCAGCTGAGAGGCGCTCTTTCTAACATGCTGGAAAGTGGATGACAAGCCACGTGCAAAAATTTTCAAATAGTTTCCCTGGGAACACAGATAAGTGTGACCCCCACTCCTAGCTTCCCATTATCACTGCATCTGTGCTAACCATACTCTTATAGAGACATTTCAAAACCAGCAGTAATTAAGTTAAATGGTTCCCCCACCTCTCCCTTAACTCAAGCTACACTAGCAGTTAACAGCTACAAGAATGGTGTCTACACACTGATACTAGAAGAACACAGGCTGCTGGGCAACTCTCCATCTCACTTTCCCTAGCGCAAGATATGGGCAGAGTGCTCATGTTCTGCTCCTCCTCTTCGGCTGGGAAACCATGGTTCTGGATTTGCTGCATGAGTGGCCACATTGGTTGTGACAGGACGTGACAGATCGCTGGCCTCTGGAATCTGTTGAAAGCAGAAGCTGCAGCGGCAGTGTGGACATGCCCTGTCCTCCAAGGGCATCCAGTCACCCGCATGCAGCTCAGGCAAGTCACAGCACTCCATGATCCCACCGAGGTCACCGCGCTCATGCCCATCTGCTAGATGGATCATACCTTCTCTGGCTCAGGTCTCTGCTGTGGCAGGGGCCTTACATGTGCAAGATCATAAAGGATCGATTAATCAGTCCATATAGTCCACCGCTCACATGATGCACGAAGCTCTGATCATTCACCTCATCCTCATCATCAGAGTCGCTCTGCTCCTTCAATACGAGTTTTTTTTTTTGGCAACGATATTAACTGTGAGCGTGAAAGCTGAAGAAACATAGTATCTGCCCAGCTCAGCTATGATTCTGACGGGAAGTACTTGTCCAGCGCTAGGTTAACCACACTTGCGATCTCTTCAGATTTATTTTATATGCATTTGCCTTCTCGAAACACTGAAAAGGGACTAAGTGGAGAACTTATAGAGTCTGCATAACAATTTCTGATTTCACTACTAAAGGTACAAGAGTACCTTTATTAAGGTGGATTTGCCAATGTGTGTTAAGTGTCTTATAAACATATAAATCCTTTGACATAGCAATTCTATTTTTAGGAATTCACCTTTCCTCCTTCATGTCACCCTCCCTACCATTTCCCTCTCCCTTTGAATTGGGGTCAGTAAAACCATGCAGTCGTGTGTTCTATGTGTTTGGGTATTAGACCCAGCCTGGATCAGGCTGTGATGTGTATACCTCGCTCACTGATTCTAACTACTGCACAGAGCTCTACGGGCTGTTGTCCACTTCAGGACAACAGTGACTAGCACACAAGAGGCACTCCATAAGTAGCTGATGGATGAACAAATGACAGTTTTCATCTTTCCAGTCCACCAGTGTAATAAAACACACAGTGACTATGGTACAGATGTTAAAATTTGCATTTCTGGAATAAAATACCATATTCATGATGCACTATTTAATACTGTTAGATTTTTTTTAAGCTTCTGTCTTAGGATTTTTTTCTCACGGCTCTTTTTTCCCATGTACTATCATTATTTTGCTAGCAAGAACGAGTAGCCTATCTTCATTTCCCACAACAATTCAGCTAATATATGGCTTTGAACATTTGGTAAAATGCACCTATAAAACCATCAGGGCTTGGAGCCTTTTATTTTGGAAATCTTTGCTCTTTGTTTAAATTTCCTTGATGGTGCCAGGCACTGGTGGCTCATGCCTATAATCCTAGTTACTCAGGAGGCAGAAATCAGGGGGATCGCAGTTCAAAGACAGCATGGGAAAGTAGTTCCGAGAGACCCTATCTCAAAAAACCCTTTACAAAAATAGGACAGGTGGAGTGGCTCAAAGTGAAGGCCCTGAGTTCAAGCCCCAGTACCACAAATAAACAAATAAATAAATTTCCTTGATGGCTACTGACTTCTTCCAGGTTCTCACTTTTCTTGCCTCAACTTGATATTTTTCTATTTTTCCAGATATTTATCTACTTTGTCTAAATTATCAAATATGCTAGCACATTAATTTTCAGGGAAATGATATTGCTGTTGTGATTATTTTCCTTTTTTATCATTCTATATTTTTACATCCTTCTATTTCTTTTTAGGTTCAGCTTTTAGTTTTGTTAATTCTCCTCTTTATTTTCTGTTATAGTTGCTGTTCTCCACATTGTAAACTTCTGCTTTTATCTTTATTACTTCCTTCTTTTATATTTCCTTAGATTTGCTTTGTTGCTTCTTTTCTATCTTACTGAGTTGAAGACTTATTTATTTTAGGCTTTGTTTTCCAAGAAATCTGTTCACTGCAATCAGTTTCTCCTCTTGTGGTTGTTTCTCTCTCTCTCTCTCTCTCTCTCTCTCTCTCTCTCTCTCTTTCTCTCTCTGGTGGGACTAGGATTTGAACTTAGGGCTTTGAACTTGCAAAATAGGTGCTCTAATGCTTGAGCCACACCGCCAGTCAATCTTAGCCTCCCGAGTAGCTGAGATTACAGGTGTGAGCCCCCGGTGACTGGCTCCCTTCAAGTATGAATTGAGTCATGATCCATACATGTTGGCATGCCATAGCTCCACTATCCATCACTTCTAAGTATTGTATGTTTTCTCTACAATATCTTCTTTAACCTAAGGGTTACTTACTATATGCATTTAGTTTTTTTGTGTATTGGGTGATACTAGCTGTCCTTCCATTTCTGATTCCTCCAAATCACTGCATTTTAGTCAGAGAATACAGAGCACCAGGATTCCTTAAGAGTTTTTTCAAGACAACACATGGCCAAATTTTGTAAATGTTCTGTGGATCTCCCCCAAATACTGTTTTCTCTGTTGGTCTAAAAGCCACGTTTTATTGTTGTTCTTTTGTTCTTTAATTAGTTTGCATTTATTATGTCATTCAACATATCCGTATCATCACTTATTTATTTCTACTCCTTCATCTAAGTTTCTGAGAGGGCCATATTAAGTTCTCTAGCAGCAACTGTTGGTTTGCTATTTCTCCCTTAGATTTTGTGGTATCCTTGTACTAATCAACTTACCTACACTGGAATTATATTTCCTAGAAGTCATTTCCATGTTAGGGTTGGCCCCAAGAAACATCTGGGAGGCAAAGTGAATCTTCTTTTAATGCTCTGAAGGGTATCACAAGTTGTAACAGCTCATGCTCACTGCTATCTTCTGACTCAACTCATGGCCACAGAGCAGAACAACAGTAACGCCAGCCTCTGCTGGGTGTCTGCCTGGGCTAGATGTGTGCGTGAGTCACACGGGCCAAAGGCATTGACCAGCATTATCAAGGCTGGAGGAAGTGAGAGACAGTCCTGGGTTCTGTTAGCCCTTCCAAGCTGTAGTCTGTCCTCGTGAATTCCAGTTTGTCTCTGCTCTTCCCCTCTTTTCTTCCTTCCTCACTTCTGGCCAGGCTGACCTGTAGCAACTGCAGGCCTAATCCCAGAGATAAAGGAAGTAGCCTTGCTGCTGTGGCTGCTCTGCAGAGGGACATGGACCTCCTGCCTAGCTAGCAGGTGCAATGTTGAGATTGATAATGGCACACACCGAGAGTGTATGAGAAAATGTGCTCACATCACAGAACCATCTGGGGAGAGCAGCACACCACCTAAGCTGGGACAGAAGGGGCTGGCATGACTTAAGAGAGAGCAGGTGTATTGTTTTCTTTTTCTTGACACATGTTTGTACCTGTCTACAGGGTACAGCACAATAATTTGATTCATGTATTTAATGTGTCATGATCAATCAGGGTTATTAGCATTTCCGGCCTCTCAAACATTCTTCATTCCTACGTGCTTGTAATTTTTGGGCTCTTCTAGTTATTTTTAAATATATCATAGATTGTTGTAGACAACAGCTACCCTACTGAGAACAGGTGGTTGTTTTTGTTTTGATTCATTTAGTTTTTGGGTAATGCAAGGGCCTCACTTGTGCTAGGCAATGAACTCTACCACTAAGCTGCACCCCAATCTCTGAGAGCAAGTTTTTGTTGTGGTAAGGTAAAGGGGTGGGCCTGGGCTTGCCTGGTTTGAACTTGAGGTTGGTGCGGAGACAGAGGCAGGCTTTTCATGCTGATCAGTTGGCCCAAATGTGGGGCAGAGGGGAAAAAGGGGCTAGGACTTGAAAGCCATTGTCAGTCACATGAAACAGAATCTCCAGTATTTCTCTACCAACTGTCAGGATTACTTAAGGCCTCCCACATACTGAGTCCTGATTCTGCACCCTCCCGGAGGTCCTATCTTCATGTTCCTTGCAACAGCAAATAACACCCTCCTTTCATCTTACGGTGTTTTGTTTTGGCCATCAGTTCTACTTTGTATGATATAAAAATTGCCACTGTGGCATTTTTGGCTTTTGTTTAATAAGTCTTTCCTGTTCGTTTCTTTTCTTTTTTTTCTTCCTTTTTCATTTTCTCATTTCAAACTTTATTTATCCTCTCATAGGATAAATATTATAGATTAATGCTAGTGGACTTTTCTTATTTTTTTAAAACCTAAACTGAGAACTTAGCTCTTGGTCAAGAACTGATTTAAGTCTATTCTATTCATATTCATAAAAACAGCTGTTATAATGGAACTTTTTCTGCTATTTTTGCATTTCTATGTTTTGTTTGTGTCCTCTCCTTTACTACCTTACCTGGGAGAGATTTTATCATGCCAGATTGAGAGTTATCCATTCTATTTATTTTTAATTCTTTATTTTCTCATTTATTTCTGAGACAGAGTCACTATGTAGCCCAGGCTGACCCCAAACTCATGATCCTCCTGCCTCAGCATTGCCAACTCCATTCTATTTTTATAATTCTGTGTATTACCCCTTTTTTATTATAACCCATAGATTATGCTTATTTTTTCTGATTAAGTCATGAGCTAAATACAGACTTAGCAACTATGATAGAACATTTGATACTTTAAAATATTAGAATACATCTTAGCAAGAAAGTTCATGTAATCTCTAATCTAATAAGCAAAGCAAAAGCTCTAAATAAAACTCTTGAGGAACAAGAAAAATTCACAACAATCAAATGCTGGCCTCTCCCAAACTATTAAATTAGAAAAGATTAAATTGTCAATATTCTAATTAACTTGAATAACTACAGTGTGTAAGGAACTGGGGTATGAATAAGTCTAGTGCTTTTTTTTAATCTACCTCTAAAAATATTTCCCACTTATACAAAGAATTAGCATTATTCAAAAAACAAAACTTACAATTCGTTTTTCCCAAAATTTGTATTTCGGGTTTGTTAACAACAACTCTTTAGTGACAGGAGAACAGTACAGGAAAACTTTCAAGCTGAAAGGAAAAGACAAAAAAAAATCCGTATAAAGCAAAATAAGTCATCAAGGTGACTCAGAAATACATTTTCATCAAACATCGGTTTTTTCTAGTAACTCAGAAATTGCTGGCTCAGAAAGTGTTAGTGAACCTGTTATGGTCTGGATCTGAAACGTCCCTCAAAAGCTCATGTGTTGAGGCTTGGATCCCCAATGTGACATTCAGAGGTGGGGCTTTGGGGAGTGACTGGATCAGGAGGACTAGGACCTAAATGATGGGTTAATTCATCCATGGATTCATAATTTGGTGGTATTATTGGGAGGTGGTGGAAACTTGGAGGTGGGGCTGAGTTGGAGGAAGTAGGTGAGTGGAGGGGGGTATCCATGAAGGGTAAACCTAGTCCCTGGTCCTTCTGTTGCTTGCTGGCTGCCATGAGGTGGGCAGCTTTCCTCTCCCATGGCCTTTTTGCCCTGATGCTCTGCCTCATCACAGGCCTGGATACAATACAGCCAGCAGACTATGAACTGAAACCTCTGAAACCGTGAGGCAAAATAATTCTTTTTCTTTTAAGTTGCTTTTCTCAGTTATTTTATCACAGCTATGAAAGACTGACCAATACAGTAATGATGCCTTACTATCTCAATCCTATCCAAAGCACAGGAAGAGGAAAGGGCTGTGTCCTCTGACCACCCCCAGAAGTCCTTCACTGTGTATGTCAAAAATACATGTTGGAGGGCTGAGGATGTATCTCTGTAGTAAAGCACTCGCCTAGCAAGTGTGAGGGCCTAGGTTCAATCCACACCACCTCAAAAATATAAAAAAATTTAAAAAATAGTGTTAGTACTTGATCAGGCACATCTTAAAGATACCACTGTATGTTAAACTACTTCTGGAAAACAGGAAAAAGGTACTGAGAACAGAAACTTCTGCTTTTTACTTCATGCATGCTAAGCAAGTGATCTACCATGAGCCACACATCAGGCCCCTGTATTTATTTTTCTAGTGAACAGAAATTTGGGACATATGCTTTTTAACCCTGGGTTTCCATTAAGAAGTCCAGCTATCCTCAAACCATCAGGCAGGGATTTTCATCTGTGTCACTCACCAATGCATTCTCAACATCCAGTAACATGATGGAGGGGGTGAATTCAAGCATGATATATTTGAAATATTGAAACAACTTTTGTAAATACCACAATGTACCCCCACCCAGCATGACAATAAAAAAAAAATCCAGTAACATGCCTGATCCATCAGAAACACTAAAAAATTTATTGAACCAAGAAATTCATTCTTGAATATAGTAAGTATCCCATAAATATTATCATTGGTTCAAAAGTCAAAATGATCCTTTCCATAAATATCATAAATATATATTTATGGAAATACATTTTCATAATTTGGAATTTAGATCAAGGCAATGGCTATAGGAAAAAAAAGCCCAGTAGTTCAGCTTTAAAAAAAGATACAATGAAATCAAATGAGTTACTGCTATAGTCAGAAGCATAGATGAATCATTCAAATACAAATATTAGTGAAATAAAACAAATGAGTCTATTTGATATGATTTTATTTATACAAAGTTCAAAAACAGCTAAAGCTAACCCATGGTGACAAAAGTCAGACCCAGCTTACCTTTGAGAGGAATGACAGAGAGCAGGCAAAGGGCCTGGAAGATGGGTACCATTCAATTTCTTGAACTGGGTGCAAGTCACACAGAAGTGTTCACATTGTAAACATTCATAATGCATGTGCTTTTCTGTCTAAATGTTACCTCTCAATTAAAATGTTTACTTAAACACACACACACTCACACACAAACACAAATAATTACCTGCATTCCAACCTTCTTTTCAAGGTAGGAGCCCGTAATCCTTTCATGTGATCTAAAAAAAAAAGAATCAAGAATCAGAAACACATTCTTTTTTGGAAGATTGCTTAGCCAAGCAAACTGAGCTCTCTTCTTACATTCTCTGTTAAAATATATGTGGTTCACTTTTACAGGAGAACAGATCCCTATGGGCCAGCAGCTCTTTCTCCAACAAATGAAGAATCCTTCTGAGAACAGGACAGGAACCACTAAAAGTTGCCCTGCCTTGAACCATGCTGTAGAAATTACATAATCACATTTGAAATGAATGTTAAGCATTAAAAATTCTAGGGACCATTTGACCTTTGAACTATATAAGAGACAATGGACTGCTTCCTAAACGAATCAGTAATTTTCAGATACATTTCACTAATGCTTTATCTATGAATCCAGTCTTAAAATACATATTGATACACTGCTATTAAACATGCCAATTGTCACTAAAAATAAAAAAGCAACTTAAGCCCAGTATCATGGTTCATACCTGTAATCCCAGCTATTGAGGAGGCTAAGGCAGGAAGATTACAAGTTTGAGGTCAGCCTCAGCTACACAGTGAGACCCTATCTCAAAGTAAAATATTAAAAGTTCTGGGAGGGTAGCTCAGTGACACAGTGTTTGCTTAGCATACTTCAGATTCTGCGTTCGATTCACACAAAAAGAAGCAATTTAAAAGGAGAGTGAGCCCAGGATGCTGGGCAGATTCTGAATTGTTCCAAGAGGCCACAGAAGGTGGACAACCGCTTCTAGCCCTTCCCTTCACTCTCTTCTCTGGACCCAAGCATCCTTGGCCCTTATGCTTGAGACACATTCAGTTCCTACCACTTCAGTCAGCCCATCTAGAAACTCAAGCACTTTTCCATGGAATCCGCCAGGAAATCATTCAGGCTGAGGCCAGAAAATGGAGCATTTTATCATATTCTCAGCCTACTGTGACCTCCACATTAAAGGAGGGACATCACCAGCCACATCAACTTGTTCTGCAGCCCTCCAATTACCAGACGCAGAGCGATGACGTACGAGAAAGCTCACAATTAAATCGAACAGTACCTTAAACAGAGTGCATGCTAATACATCTGAACCTTCAGCTTGCAAAGGCTTAGACAACAATGTCCAAACACTTCTAAATTGTTCAACTAAATCAAACCACTTCTACATTTCATTACCACTATCACCACAGGCATCTTTAAGCCCAGTGAAAATAAAGCAGTCACTGAGGGGACAACGACCTCCCCCCAACACCTCCAGGACAGGTCTCTCTCACTTGGGGTTTCCAAAGAACTTGTACCACAGCAAAAAGGTGGCCGAATCAGGACGGTGCTGCATAACTCCCAAAGTAACTCAGCAGGCAGCACCCCGTATCTGCTGCATCATCGCCCCCCCCGCACCCCAAGACCCCTTCCCAACTGGTGGGAAGAAAACTCGGATGAGTTTACTTGGCTGCACCAGTCTTTTTTTATTTTTATTTTTTGCAGTACTGGGGCTTGAACTGAGGGCCTTGTACTTGCATGGCAGGTGCTCTACCACTTGACCCATTCCCCTTTTTACTTTAGTTACTTTTTTTTTAATAGGACCCCCCCCCAGGCCAGTCTGTACCATGATCCTCCAATCTGTGTTCTTCTTATAGCTAGGATGACAGATGCACATCACCACACCCAGCTTTTATGCATGAAATGAGTCTCGTGTGCTTTTGCCCAGGCTGGCCTCAAACCATGATCCCCCCAATCTCTGCCACCAAGTAGCTGGTATAAGCCAGCATCCTTGGCCAGAGCCTGCTCTCCAGAGTGAACTCTCTTTTCTCTGACTAGAATGAATCATCTGAAGTTGCCCCTTCAGAGGGTCATCCCCAATCCTGAGCCAGAATCTGAAGCCACGGGTACCTTCTCATCCTCCAAGCCTTACTGATGCTCAGTAAAGCCTTCTGTGGGGACAGGCACACAAAGGGTTCCAGCTGGTCCATAAATGGGCATTAGGCAGCTCCATGGCCACTCCAAATTATGTTAAGCTGGGATGTTAACATGTTCATATCTTTTTTTTCTAGCAAAATAGTCCCTAGGTTGGCAGACAACCTACATTAGTCAGTTCAGGCTGCTACAACAAAATGCAAACTAGGTGGTTTTTTATCTCTCACACCTCAGGAAGCTGAGAGGCCCAAGACCAAGGTATGGGCCAGTTTGGATTCTGGTGAGGCCTCTTTTCCTGGAGCTGCCTTCTCACTATCTCTTCCTCTTCTTATAAGGTCACTAACCCTATCAGAGTAGGACCCTACCCTAATGACTTTATTAGCCTTAATTAGCTCCTAAAAGCCCTATCTCCAAATACAGCCCCATTGGGGTTAAGGATTCAGCATATAGATTTAAGGGAAATAGTCTACAGCATAGTCAAAGAAGTCTGTTCCCAAAAAGGTTAAAAACCATCAGCCACATGGCAAACCTCCAAAAGCAGAAGTTAAGTTTTTGCCCTTGTTGAGTTTACACCCATTTTTTTTTTTTTGGTAGTACCAGGTTTGAACTCGGGGCTTTGCACTTGCTAGGTAGGCACTCCACCACCTGAACCACTCCACCAGCCTTCTTTGTGTTGGGTATTTTTGAAAGAGAGCCTCTCAAACTATTTGTCAGGGCTGGCCTCAAATCTTGATTCTCCTGATCTCTGCCTCCCAAGTAGCTAGAATTATAGGCATAAGGCAGCGATGCCCAGCCTGAATTACATCCTGATTGAGCAACAGACCCACAAGATTAGGGAACAGGAAATTATAGAAACCGCTCCACAGCAGCGAGAGTCGGGTTCTTGCCTAATGTACAAACATATAATGATGATCTCAAAAATTCCTTTAGCATTACTTCTCCTGGGCTGAGGATGTAGCCCAGTGGTGGAGTGTTTGTCTACCATGTGTGAGGCCCTAGGTTTGATCCCCAAACCTCACAAGAAAAAAAATTACTTCCCCAAACTCACTAATCTGGAACATGAAGGGCGAGCCCCTAAACCACAACTATATTAAATAAATTTTATAGAAGGTCACTGATTTGGACGAGGCTCTTGTGTTAAGCTACAGCAAACCAAACCGACATACAGTTTAATCACAGTAACTGACCTGTGGTTGTTTGCAGGAGGCCCTGGAACTGACTAAACTGTAACCACCTCAATGGTTGACTGACTAAGCTGTAGCCAGTTAAATTGCTTTTTACATCTCAATTTGGTTTTTCTATAAATACTGCCAGTTGGAATTCTTAAAACCTCCTGAGGTTCCAGAAGCTACCTAAGTAATTTTCCATGTTGGTTTTTTTTGTTTTGTTTTGTGGTAGGGGTAGTACTAGAGGGGTTGCATTTAGGACCTTTCACTTGTTATGCAGTCACTCTGCCACTTGAGCCACTCTGCCAGCCTTTTTTGTTTTGGTTATTTTTGAGATAGGGTCTCACTTTATGCCCAGGCAAACCTGGACTATGACCCTCCTTACTTATGCTTCCCTGCATAACTGGGAATGAGAGGTGTGTGTCACTGCATAAGCCACTGGTTGAGACAGGATCTTGCAAATTCCACCCCCCCCACACCACTCCAGATCACTTCCCAAGTAACCACCATGCCCAGTGGTACATTTTATTTCTAGTTCAACACACTAAGTAAATTGAGGCATCCTAATCCAGCAGGGGCTTCTCAACAAAAAATGAAACAAATAAAAAATGTTATTCTGAAGAACAGACCCTCAAAACAGCTCAAACTGCTTTATTTTATTTCATTTTATTTTATTTTGGGGCAGTATTGGGGATTGAACTCAAGGCCTCACAGTTGATAGGCAAGTTGTATACCTGTGTGCATTTGAGTTTGTCACACTCTGCTTTGCTTCTCAGTACACAGTACAGTTGGGAGCATCCTTCTCTAGCCACCTGTGGAGGCCACACAGGGAGAGGCAGCAGCTGGAGTGCTTCAGTTTAATCTCTGATCAATGTGGTTATGCTAGCTAGTACAATGAATTGTAAAACTATCTTTATTATTAAAGTTAGTGATTTATTAGTCAGCATTAACAGAAGTTAAAAATAGACAATGGAGCTGAACACTGGTGGCTCATCACACCTGTAATAATAGCTACTCAGGAGGCAAAGATCAGGAGGATGGTGGTTCGAAGCCAGCCCAGGTAAATAGTTCATGATCCTATCTCAAAAATATCCAACAAAAAAAGGGCTGGGGGAGTGACTCAAGTGGTAGAGTTCCTGCCTAGCAAGCATGAGGCCCTGAGTTCAAACTCCAGTACTGCCAAGGAAAAAAAAGACAATGGTTATGAAATTAGTGACTTTCAACCTCTGGGGATCAGCTCCATCCTAACCTTGATCATTTGGTCTAGAGTCGGTGTCATTAAGGGTGATACTAAGCTTAATCCCTTAAACATGTGCGGCTGTGAAATTATAGAACTGTGGTGACCTATTACCATCTATAAGGCAAATATGCATCTTGCTATTCTAGACTAAAATGAACTTTGCATGTTGAATGTGGGCAGAACGTCTGAAAAGAGGGAGAAGCACCAAGTGGTGGCACATGCTTGTAATCCCAGCACTATGGAAGCAGAGGCAAGAGGATCGCCACTTCAAGGCCAGTCTGAGCTATATAATGAGATTCTGTTTACAAAATAAGCAGTAGCTTGAACTGGTCAAGTTTACAGACAGCTGTTTGAATCAACTACGTGGGGGGGGGGGGGCGGTGTATGTGCGCGCGCCTGATCGCTAACTAAAGTTTGGGGATGTAAAAGAAGTTGATCTGAAACTTGTTTTCTTACACATGGTAAAGAGAACTTAGGGGGAAAATAGGGATAGAACTAGCTAAACTTCGCCAGCCTCTGGCTCTCCCTCACTAGAAGAGCTACCAAAAGAACTTGACAGCAGTAAGTGACCACACTGGCCAGGGCAGTATGCAACTGGCTGTAACGCATGGTGACCCAGATCTGGAAATAAATAAAGCCTTGGAGAGGTTAAGAGCCAACGGGCGCGAGGTGTGCTTTCCTGTCCCTTGCTGTCCTCCTGCAGCCAGCGTCCCCCCCCCCCGCCGCTCTTCCTCCAGCGCGGGTTTCCCCCTCTCCTCGGGTCTCCAGCCCCTGCGCCCTATGAACCGGGCGCGCAGGACTCACTCACCCTTGTGGCAGTGGGACAGGAAGTAGGCGCGGGCTCTCAGGTTCTCCCTGTCAAAGCGGTCTATGGAGATGGTTGGATACTCCACCATCTGTCCCTCGAAGGAGCTCATAGTGCCACCGACCACCAGACCTAGCTCGCCCGGGAAGCCCATTTCCGGGTGCTAAGCACCGCCTCGCCATTGGCCGGCAGAGCACAGCCGCGTCCAATCACAGAAGCCCAGCGGCAGGGGGCGGCGCCTAGGAGCATCCGGTAAGATTTTCGCGGCGCGCGACCTCGGGTTTAAATATCCAAGCGCAGCCGAGCTCCGTGACATGGGCGAGCCCGCCGCCATTCCTAACGCCCGCCGGAGCAGAGCAGCGGCCCAGCAGCACTGAGCGAAGTTTCCTTCGTGGCAGAAATCAACAAACAAAAATGCAGGCGTTGCTGTGGTAACGGACCTGCCCGCATCACCTAGGGAAACCGAAACACCCAGAGCTGGGGCTGGAAGCAGGGAAAGTGGGCTTTGACATTAGACTGCGCTGCGCTTCTCTCGTCTAGAAAAGCGAGCTCGCTTTTCCTTCTCTTCTCCCGTTTTCTGTCTTATGGGATAACCACGAGGATTGCATGAGAAAATTGCGTCTGATTTGTGGCATGTTCCATGGATATTAGTTTCCACTTCCATTCCTTCGCATACAGTGAATGAATACCTCTGCCGATCACAACTCAGATGTGGCTCTTAGGGCCAAGAAAATCCCAATGATGTTTTCTCTCCCCCTTATCCACCAATCCCCCCACTTTGAGCTGTATTTTTAGTAAGTTAGAAGGATACGTAAAGGGAAAAAATGGAGAAATGTCTGAAAAGATTTATCATAAGATCCACCAAATAGTCACAATGGCATTTACTGTGCCTCTTTCTAGCAAGTCTTAGACACTGCTGTGATATTAATTACAAACGACTGGAACACTTTTAAAATTCTGCTGTGCAGGACACCATGACAAGCCTTATGATCCTTACAGAGCTGACTAAAATGTGCCTTTTAGGAATGTTCAGTTAGTTTTAAGACCACATATTGCAATGTTTCTACAGAGACACAAAGTGATCTGGGAATAAGGCCAGGAAGAAGTTCTGCCCTGGGAAATCAGGAATCAGAACCCAGTGGTCAGAGAATATCAGCTCGTTGTTGCAGCTACTAGGAGTTCTATTCAAATACAGATTCTCAGAAATCTTAATAAACAGGAAGAGGGAGGGCAAAGAGGAAGGGGAAGAAGGGGCAGTGGAGTGGAAAAGTATAGACACCATAAAGACTAATGTAAGTAAAATATTCTGCCACACTACTACTGGCAACACCTTTGATTTGGTTTTGTCCTAGAGTAAAGGAGGCTATTGCTGTGACGAGGTTGTCCATATTAGAAACAAATACTTCAGTGAATCTGATACCTACAGAATCTCTCAGACTGTGGAGCTTCTGGAAAGGCAGGACAAGATAATGCTCACACTCTTATTTATTTGTTTACTTAGTTACCTCTTCTTTCCATCTGGATACAATACAAAAGAATAAAGGGAAAAAGTACAGTCAAGGCAAAGGAAAAGATAGGACAGAAAATAATGAAGATGGGTAAATACCTTTATGGGAGGTGGGTCTTCTGTTTGGCTCCTTTAGAGGTGAAAGGAAAAAGGGAAAGACAATCTCTTCCCAGCTGTTTAGCATTCTTAAAATAAAAATAAGTTTTTCAGAAGATGCTTAATGTTTTGGATACTGAATCTCTAGAGAAATTCCTTCAGTGGGTGCCTGTGAAGAAAATTGCAATATGTGCACATGGTGTCATTCATGTATCATTTTCTGGTGCTTCATTTCCCAGTTGGGAATCTCCATCTTTCAGCAATCTCAGAACTCCGTGACTTTCTATGCCTTTGATTGATTTCATCCCAGCAGGACTGAGAATTGCTAATAAGCTTATGGTCAACACTAAAAGTTCATTTCTGCAGGGTTGAAGGTATAGCGCAGTGGAGGAGCATGTGATTAGGATGCATGAGGACTGGGTTTGATCCACAGCTCACACACAAAAATTAGTTATTGACATAGATACATCATTGTTGGGAGTCATTATAGGGTATATTTTTTCTTGATTTTACATAGTAATAGATTGTCAATGTACATAACTTTCATGCTAAACTTACTATAAGCCAGGCATGGTGGTACATGTCTGGAATCCCAGCTACTCTGAAGGCTGAGGCAAGAGGATTCTGAGTTTGAGGGCAGCCTGGGCAGCATAGTGACATCCTGTCTCAAAAATAAATGAATAAGTAAATCAATAAATAAACTTATGGTATTTTATGCTATTCTTTTAGCAGAAATAAAGTATTGAACGAGGAAGTATACAATGAGATACTATATGTTTAAAAAGTGTGTTCATTTGTTAATGTCATAAGAGCACGAACTGGGTGGCTTAAACAGCAGACATGTATCATCTCAGTTCTGAAGGCTACAAGTCTGACACCAAGATGATGGCAGGGCTGGTTCCTACAGAGGGCTGTAGGAAAACTCTGTTCCATACCTCTTCAGTGGTTTGCTGATGATTTTGGTGTTTCTTGATGTCCAGAAATGTTTCTGGTGGTTTCCTGGTGATTTTTGGTGTTTCCTGACTTCCAGAAGTGTTACTCCAGCATCTGCCTCATCATCCCATGGCATTTTCTCTGTGCCTACACTTGTGTCCAAAGGTTTCCTTTTTATAAAGGACACCAGCAGTGCTGGAGTAGAGGCTCACACTACTCTAGTATGACCTCATCTTAAATTATACCTTCAGTTGACCCTATTTCTTAATAAGGTCACATTCTCAGGTGCTGAGAGTTAGGATTTGAACATTTGAATTTGAAGAGGGACACAATTCAACCCATAGGGAAAAAAGCATTATAAAATAATATATACAATATTTATTACATTTTTGTCTCTTTTGCATTAGTGGGGATGAAACCCAGGGCCTTGCACATGCTAGGCAAGCACTCTACCACTTGAGCTACACTCCCAACCCCTCTTTCCCACACCCTAATACTACCCTATTTACCAAAGTTTAATAATTTTAAAAATTCAAGAGGTCCTCATTTCTAAGAGTTAGCTACAGAAAAGTTTATCTTTAGACAAGTTTATCTTTGTGTTTTTTAAAAAATTCTATTTTCAGTTTTAGAAGAAGGTGAGTGAACTTGATTTAGAAGTAAGCATAGAAATGGGCATATTCAGTCAGCTTAATATTCCAAAACACATAGTTCAGAAGCTGAGATTCATCACTAGATTTTGATGGTCCTTGCTTTAGAGTCTCATCTGAGACATTTCTAACTGTATGATCTCGGTTAAGTCCCTTAACCTCTCGTAGACTTGGTTTTCCCATCTGTGAAATGGGGACTGGGGTAACAATAAAGCCTACTCAAAACCCTGGAAAAATGATAAATGCTCAATAAATATCAGTATTACTTACTTGGCATCTACTAAGAGCTAGGCACCAAGCTTGAACCAGGGAGGCATGTGAGGAATCAGCCATGACCTATCAAGAGCTTACAGTCTGGCAGAAAGAAAATTGTGGAAACAAATAAATGCAAGCGTTCTGCAGGAGCTTTAATGGACATGTGTGCAGGGTTTAGTGGGGGACCAAGAAAAGACATCAATTTTGCAAGGAGAAAGGGGCCATCAAAAAATTTAGTAGAGGGTGAATTTGAGTTCAGCTTCTAGGCCCAAGAACAGCTGGAGTCCCTGGAATGGGCTTTTATTCAGTTTGGGCATTGCAGTTACTTCCTTCTAACCTAAGGACTTGAAAGGGGTGAAATAATGGGGACTCAACAGGAAAGTCAAGGCTGAGTCAGCTCAGAAGGGATCAGACTATGAGGGACCTTGTACACTAAACTAAGCACTTCAATCTTGATCAACACTGGGAAATCTGGGTAGTTTTAAACAAGAGAGGGACGGATGAGATTAGAACAGCATTTCTCAAAGAGTGGACTCTGGATGAGCATCACTAACAATATTTGGGAACTTGCTGGAAATATTTCTCTACCTTAGCTCAGGCCTATTGAATCAGAAACTCTGGGTCTTAGTGATATAAAGGATAACAGGTTTTACAGATGAATATCCATCAGCAGAAGAAAGAGGACTCTAGGTGTCACTGAAAATGGAAGATGTTTGGGGGGAGGAGAAGTTTGGGGAGGGTGTTTTGGACAACCAAGTGGATGTGGAATATACATTGGATATAGAAGTCTACAATTCGGAGAAAGATCTGGACTGAGGAAATAAACTTGAAGTTATGAAAAATGTCTGGGATTTAAAAAATTTCTAGTATTTGTTTTAATATGATGCCTTTTATTAGTTTATATAATTCAATTTGTAATAATATGCTTGTGCTTACCAACAGGCTCCCAAAATTCTTGAAATTTCTTTGCTGTTGCTCTTTTTGGGGGGAGAGGGAGAAATGAGGTTTTGAACTCAGGGCTTTGCTCTTGCAAAGCAGGCGCTCTACCACTTGAGCCACACCTCCAGTCCATTTCACTCCTGTTATGTGGAGTTGGGGGATCTCCCAAACTATTTCTCCCGGCTGGCCTGGAACCGCAATCCTCCCACTTAGTCTCCCAGGTAGCTAGGATTACAGGCGTGAGCCGTCTTGGCGCAGCTACATTCTTTACATTTTAACTATTGTTTTTGGTGATCTCTGCGGAGCTGAGCACACCACTGCGTCTTTTTCTTTCACACTCCAATTTATTGACAAATTCTGATGGCTCTGCTTTCAAAACACCTATCTTGACTCTGATCACATTTCACTAAAATAGATGGCATTTTAAGTATAATAATGAAGATAATGATATAAAAATAATCTCATTTATTGCTCATTATCAGGCGCCCTTACGGCCCCCACAAAATGACAAAGGACATCTAGCAGGAATCCCAAACCCCAGTTGTCTCTGTTGTGTGATTCGCTTTCACAAGGGATTCTAAGTCACTGGGCAGTCAATGTCAATAACACCTTTCACCCTCCACCTCTGGCCAGGCAGAAGCCCTGGCAAGACTCCCAGCCTAGGATCACTCTAAGCACTCCACATTCACCGCCCACCTTCCCCGAGCACGTGCGCACAAAAGCCCATTCGGAAGTGGGCGGTGCTTGAGCGAATTGGGCGGGGCCTCAGTGAGCAGGTCGCTCGAGCGTAGCCACCGCGTTGCTAAGAGACGCGAGGGCGGCAGTGGCCACGACTATTGGTCTCCCACTGGCCCAGCCCACCGACCCCGAGGAGAGAACGCGAGCCCCGCTGCGCCCGTCTGTGAGCTCAGCTAAGCGAGGGTAACCACGGAGGGCGGGACCCAGGGGTGGGCGGACGCGCCTCCCAACGCCCAGCTCCTAAACACCTACCTGCGCCTGACAAGGTCCCGCCCCGGAAGTTCGGCCAGGTCCCGCCCCTTCCGCCCCGCAGCTCCTTGGAGATTCGGAGACTCGACTTCACCTTTGCGTTTTCTCTTCTTTCTTTTTTTGGGGTAGGTCTTTCTTTGGCCCCTCCTAAATCTCAGAGTCCGATTCCCCCTCGAGTTTCCCAGCAGTCCTACGCCCGCTTTCTCGCTTTAAAGGGATCATGGCTCTGAGGGCTGTCATTTGAGTCCAGCTTTTTCTCATTCTAGGCACATTACACCTCACAAACACACACCTGATGATTTGTGGCAGAAAGGAAACTTAAGGGACCCGGGGATACCCCAAAAGGAGTGGCTTTGTGCTGCACAGATGCAGGTTGGCACACCTGGTCAACGCACCACAAAGGCGTAGTTAAGAAGCTGCTTCTGTCTTTAAAATGAGCTCCCCACAACATTGGGGTGAAGGGTGAGGACCCCCCAGGGCTTCCCCTTGCACGGATAACAGGCCTAGGATTGTCCACTGTCTCGGCCAAGGCTTACATACTAGTTGAAAGGGCTTCTCCACCCTATTCTGCTGCCTGTGAGGAGCAAAAATAACGAGATAAGGTGAGGGAGGCTAATGTTCTTGAGGATTTCATACCAAGAAGAGTAAAAAGCACTGCAGAGTAAAAAGGAGATGACAAGGGGGTTTTCAAGAAGGGCGTTTGAAGGGGCTGCCTGCATCAACGTGTCTCCTGTTACATTACAACTTGAGATTATTTAGATTTGAGATTAGTGTGGGAGTTCAGTACCTATATAAACCTTAATGATGCTTAATAATGGTGCAGTTTTCAAACTAGAAACTTGAACATTGCCATTTTCTGTTAGTGGGGCTACAACTTAGTATTATAGCATTATAAAATTTCTTTTTTTTTTAACAACTGTCAGTAAAGAAGCCATTCAGCATGAAAGTGCAAAATGTTATAGCACAATTAGTAATGCCAATAAACTTTCCCAGAATCACTGAAATATTTAACCAAGGACTGTTAAGTTCATCTTTCTTAATTTTAGTTTGTCGATACAAAACACAGCTCTTGCCCCAACAGGAATAAGAGATAGTTTATTCTGAACCAAATATGAGTGACCATGGCCCGGGAACACGGATTGAGGTCACCCTGAATGACATGTTCTGCTGTGGAAGAGGTTACACGAACTTTTATAGTCACAGAGCTAAAGAAAGTCATAAATCAATTCATTTACCAAATACTTTGATGGAGACATCAGGTAGGTGGGTTACAGTGGAGCAGGGAAATCTCTTCTATAGGTTTTAGATGGTATAACATTCTTAGCTATAGAGTTGGCAGAAGCTGGTGTTTGCTAAATTTAACAATACATTCCACAAGTTTTACCTAATAGTCATGAAAAATGTTGGGTTAGATAAAGAGGTTAACAGTAAACGACTGTGAATGTGACTATAGATAGCCCAAGATAATTTGGCTCTCATTCTGCCAACATTTCGTCTCTTGCACAATCACAAAGTTCTGTTTGGCCAATTAGTCTGTAAGATCTTCAACACAGGTGTTAGTTCACAAGTTTCTTTTTGTTTTCAAAAAATTGAAAGTAAGAGAGATCAAAAAAGAATGGATTTGCACCACTCCTGTATAGCACAGTTATAGTAGATACTAGAGTTCCTGTTACAGTACTTTTACATTCATGTTCCCTTTAGATACTTTGGGAATGCAGAATTTTGAAATGTCTACCAATATCTGTAAGATTTATGTTTCTACTGGGAAAACTGGTGATTTCCCTAGAAGTTCAACGGAATACAGCACATTTCTGCTCTTCTATTAAGTGCAGCATTTTTCCATCTGTGGAGGTACATACCTATAATCCCAGCTATGCAGGAGAGAAAGATGGGAGAATCACAGTTGGAGGCCAGCTAGTGTAAAAAAGACCCTATCTCAAAAAACAAGCTGGGTGTGGTGGTGCAACCTGTAATCCCAGCTAGGCAGGAGGCTGTACTTGAGAGAGTTGTGGCCTGAGATTGACCTGGGTAAAAACTCAAGACCCTCTCTGAAAAAAAACTAAAGCAAAAAAGAGGGTGGAGTGCCTGAAATGTAGCTTCAGTAGTCCCTGAGTTCAACTCCAGTACTGCCAAAAACAGATAAAGATAAATCAGCATTTTTATATGTATAGGTGACATAACTGACCTGAAAGTGACAAAGGTTGACATAGATGACCTTCAGGAAAATAGTTTTTGAATGAATGTAAGCAATTTTTAAAAAGTACTTTATTATGTATCTTAAAGCCAAGTCTAGGACTGGGGTGCGGCTCTGAGGTCAATTCCCAGTGCCACAAAATTAATTAATTAATTAATTAGCCTAAAGTAAAAATGATGGAGAAACAACAATTAAGATTGTATTACTACTTTTAGAAAATACACCTCATCTATAAAAGCAATGTAATATGGCCACTAAATTCATACAAACGCATGACTGACTTTGAAAGTATTTTTAATACAGCGAATACACACTCTTCCCCTTTCATGTTTCTTAGTGTCCTATTTTCTGTTGTTTGTATACAGTATGTGTAATCTGTATCTCTGTATATGTGAATGAGTTACCAGACTGTACCACATATTTCCAACTCACTTGTTTGTCATAGATAATATCTTGTGCATCAGTGATGTAATGAACTATTAAAATGAATGGAATTAAAGGACAAGGTTTTACTGAAACGTGGCTTATTTATTGTTTTGTCAGGTATTCTAATGTTTACATAAATTCATACAATATTGTAACAATGAATTGTTTTAAAATTCAACATGATCCTGAATCTAAATCAATAGCTAAGGATAAAAGTTTTTTTTTTTTTTTAAACTCAGACTAATCAAAGCTGAGGTTTTTTTAAGTCTGATCAACATACAAGTCAGTTTCCACAATGGAAAAACTATAATAAACAGTGATACTAATATATCTATACAGTTGCTATCTTGATCCGTATAAGAACTATATGACTCAAATAACTTAATTTAAATGTGGTGCTAAGTCCAAACGACTGGGAATTATGATTTCCGAATAAGATGTAAATGACATACTTTTTAGAATGTCAAGCAAATAACGTAGCAAAAATCTATAGGAAGTAGAAGAAACGTAAGACCAGTTTCCTTATTTTTCATAGAAAAGATTTACCAGGACTTGTGGGTGGTTGATACAGTAAAACAGTGACTCTTAGTCTCCATTACCCTTTATTAACCATAGAAGCACCTTTTAAGCTACATCTTCATACTGAAGAAACATTCACCTGAAATTCAACATGCCTGTCATTTTCCCTTTTCTTATTTTCCCTCTGTTAAATCTAGATAAAGCTAAATATATTACTCTTGTAAAAGAATTTATGTGAGACTTCTTTTTATAAAAACTTCTCACATTTATCCTAACTCGTCATATTTGGAATGATGTTCACTCAATGTCAAGGGTAGATACTTCTCGATGACTTTTCATTTTCTTTTTTGTACTTTGTGTTTCTTGACATTTTTTTATCCTAATAAGCCTTGTCATCGTGATTGAAAAAATTTTGTAAATACTAATTCATTAACAGGATCTAAGTTATGAAGTCTGCCTTTAATGTATTTTAGCCAATTGAAATGTATTTTCATTGAAGAATGGATTCAAGAAATTATGGTGAAAATTCTGGGCATTTTAGTTCAGTTAAATGATATTTAGTAAAATAAGTAGCTGAGAAAAGCAAGTGAAAGATGATGTCTTTGAAAAACTTGCTATAAGGTTGGAAGTGTGTCTCAGTGATAAAGCATTTGTATTAGCATGCAACGAGGTCCTGGCTTCCATCCCCAGCACTGAAAAAAAAATGGCTATAGAAGTTTAGTGAAAGGAAATTAACATGCAGTAATTGACTATGTGAGGGCTCAAGGCCATCAGTGTCCTCCTACACTGTTTGAAATCAATGATCACAGTGTCATGACAACCATACAGTTAGCATGGAATTTGTGTTAGTCTTCTTCCACATCGGTCTGTCATAGAATCCGGTGCCACAGTTGACCTGAGTAAATGGATTTCAGTGACTGGGATGTCTCCAAGCAATTAAGAAAAGGAAAGAAGAAGGACTGGCAGAGTGGATTAAGTGGTAGAGCACCTGTTTAGCAAGTGTGAGGCCCTGAGTTCAACCCCCAGTACCACTGGAAAAAATAAAAAGAAAACAAAAGAAATAAAGCATCACTTTCCAGTAACAAGAAAGGGAGAGACTGAGAAGACTGATCTGTTCCCTTTTGAAGGCAGGGAAGAGGGGGAGAGAGAGAGTTGTACATATTAAATGGAATGACACGGGATATTTTAACAATCCAGAGTGGTTACATGTTTTCAGAAATATACAAACTGTTGCCTGGATCACCAGAACTGTCAGATGGCTCTTTTTTTATGCTCCATAACTCTGAATGAAATTTTATTTGATGAAGAAATAAATAGTTCTCTGTGTATCTTGTTTAGAGATATTTTTGTTTTGTTTGTTGTTCTAAACAAGAATCTTGGAATTGAGTGTCAAAAACTTAGTATATTTACTGGAGTTCTTAACTTTCTGTATACTTCTTAAGTATTAGTTTTGTTCACTCTAAAGATGTCAAAAATTGTTACTATGTAATCTATTAATGTTGTTTTAACATCTTTCAGAGAAAATTGGTACTAAGGCCTCTCTAGCAATGGCTAGTTCTGACGTGAAACCAAAATCAATAAGTCGTGCCAAAAAATGGTCAGAAGAGATAGAAAATCTGTACAGATTTCAACAAGCAGGATATCGGGATGAAATTGAATATAAACAAGTGAAGCAAGTTTCTATGGTAAGATTGATGCCTCTATAAACCTGAACTCAAAATGAGTTTATTAGACAGTAACAAGTATTTAAAAACAAAGAACCAAAGAATAACTGAGGGGAATTCTCTTCACCTCTCCTCTCATCAGGAGGGCAACTGAGGCTCAGAAAGGCGATTGGCTGGGCAGCTAGGGGAAAGGGGAGGTCCCTTGGCTGGGCACACTAAGAATGTTTTAGCTTTTATTGCTTAACTATGCTTCCCCAAAAATGAATTGTTCATGGTAGACCATAAAAACAGTCTTCTTCCCTTGCTCAAGTATTTCTATGATCAGACAGTTCAGATTGATGTATAACTATTATTTCCCTCCTGTTTATTTTAACCATAAATTACATAGGAGTTAAGTTATGTTTTTATGGAGATTATTCATGACAAAACACTGTCAGATAACAGCTCCTGACTTTGGTTTTACATTCCAGGCTTTCCTGAGAGAGTAGAGACATAAGTTTGCTTTACAAAGACTAAGCCAAAATCTGAACCTTGCACCAGTTGATGATAATATTTTTAATTCATTTATTCTGGTGACTGCTAGGAGATGGAACTCTTAAGACTACTATAAGAATCTGCTGTAAAGTATGTTTAGTATTCAGATTTGGAATTACAGCAAAGCATTCTTCCATTTTTATTTGCCAGTATTTCATTTTTTATTTTTAACTCACTATTTTTCAGAGACTAACTAATATGTGGAATTTTCAGAGCTCTATAACTTCTTCTTTGTTATTCCTTTATTCTGTTTTTTGGCTTCTACTTAATACTTCCTAAAAAATAAATAGGAAAAGGAATGGAAGAAAGAGCTAAAATGTAACTAGCTCTTTTAGGTGACATTAATTTACCAAGACATTATTAGGGTTGATGAGAAATGAAGTTAAAAGTACTGATCAAAGATTTGATTACTATAATTTTCATATACCTGTTTCTGATGTGAACTAACATTTTACTCTGGCCTTGTCACTACTGCCCCAGGCTTTCAAGTAAGGCATTCACATGAATGCGTTACTGTAAGATTGGGATGCTAAAGATGGGAGTGTAGAACAGTGGTAGAGTGCTTGCTACTATGTATGGGGCGCTGGGTTTGATGCCCAGCACCAAAAAAAAAATAAATAAATAAAAGGTGGGGAATGCCTAAGGGCATATAGGCCATATAAAACACAACATGCCTTGTGTTGTTATTGCTCTTGCACCAACACCCTTCTATCACCCAGTACTGTCATTGAGGTAAAATCAGATGTATAGGAGCACAAAATACATCTTATCTTTAAAGAGGAAGTTCCAAAAGCAACAGCAGGTGTGTATACATGTAATGAGAGGAAAACAGCTCTATTCACCTTATGACTTGGCAATTACAGAGCTTTATGTTTTAACTCAGTATATGTTGGACAGCTGCAATGTGAAAATTTCTGTGCCAAGTGTTTGAGGAGATAAGTGTGTGTGTTAAGAACATGCCTGAGCTCAAGAAATCCAGTGGGAAGAGTGGGCTTTGGAGTCATTAGTTCAGGGTTTGCATCCTGGCACCACCCCTTCCAGCTGGGTAATCCTGTACAATGTTCTCAACCACTGAATCTCCATTTCTTCAACTGTAAACCAGCAATGGCAATCAATACCTACTTTAGAAAAGTGTTACAAAAGCCAGGTATGGTGGTACATGCCTGTAATCCCAGCATTCATGAGAGAGACAGAGGTAGGAGGATATAGAGTTTGAAGCCAGCCTAGGCTACATAACAAGACCTTGTCTCAACAAAACCAAAACCAAAATGTTACAGGAATGAAATGAAATTAAAGTGTTTGAAGTGACTGACATTCTGGTGCTCAGAATAATTTGTTGAGTGAATAAACAGTATTTAATGAATGATTAATGCTGTCATTGATGAACAATGGCTTTTTATTCCTCTTATTATCTGGGAGTACACAATATGCAGCAACAGGAACCATTCAGCCATAGCTAGTCAAAGTATATGTGCCTAAAGAAAAACACAGAAGTTTAGAGAACAATTCAGTGACTTTGTGGCTTCAGGACAGTCCTCAGAAAAGGCTCTTGCCCCAGTAACAGTGCAGTGCACCTTAAAGGAAGAACAAGTTGATACTTGAAGGCTTGTTTATATTGAAATCTCCTTTCAATGTGCAGAGGTCTGAGGGTTTGAGCAAAATTCCTTTTCCTTACCTGAAGCATGCACCATTATCAGTTTCTTAGTACCTGCTGATCTCTCTACCTGCACAGAAGGTAGGTGGACTCTGGGATCCTATCAGTCAAGATAAAAGGGCAATGATCAACTCAAAGCCAAAAAGAAAAAGAAGTTAAGAGATGGCAAGGGATGAACAACGACGAATGTTTGAAGGCCAATGAGCACAGACCCAATCTAGCTGGTTTGAGGATCATTTCGTGTAAAGGATTCTGAAGAAGCAGCAAGTGCACCATTTATTCACTCAACAAGATTGTCTTTGGGACTAGTAAATGAAAAAGGACCTTGTAGGTAGCTCTGTTGAGAATACCTCCTTTACAGGCTGAGGGTAATGGAAGCCAGGAAGGGAGCCTTGACATAGTGCTAGAAAGGTTTGCTGTTTTTCTGACAAAGTAAATGTCATAGGGGCTGCCAAGTTTATTAGATATGCTGCTGTCTATTTTTTGCTAATTCATAAATAAAACAACAGAAAAAAATGCAATAGCTGGGTATGGCAGTGTACACACATACTCCCAGCACTTGGGAGGTTAAAGACGGGAGGATTTCAAATTTGAGGCCAACCTGGGGCACATATAAGTTCAAGGCTCACCTGAGCTACACAGTGAGTTCCTGTCTCAGAACAAAGACACTAGAAAATAAAAGACACAGATAATCATCTCTTCTTCCAATTAAAAGCTGTGATTTCTAAGTGAGGAATATGAAAAATGTTGAAGAACAAGATTTGATTTTTTATTTCCCCTTGGGGGCACTGGGGTTTGAACTCAGGGCCTCATGTTTGGTAGGCAGGTGCTCTTACTGCTTGAGCCACTCCACCAGCCCTAAGATTTGATTAAAAAAAAAAAACCTGAATTTCACAATATAGTGCAGCTCACAAAATCCAGAAGGAACAACCACAAGAACCTGATTAAGGAGGGATAACACTGAATTTGGAGAGGAAGAAGAGAAAATACTCAAATCAGATCAAGCCAAAGAAAAAAGTAGAAAATGGGCACTTATAAAAAAAGAATAGCACATTATATAAGACAGAATTGTGGTGAGAAAATTGATAGGGTACCATATGCATGAGCTCAAATTTCTATTAAAAATTGGAGTTGAAGGTGAACTTGAACTTTAGGTATCTTTAGATATTTTGAGTCTAGTAGCTTCCTTTAGATCCCTGTGTGGTATCCATAATCAACAGTCATCACTTTCATCATTGGGCCTGAGCCTAGCCTCAGCTCCAGTTTTCTCCTGAGTATTATATTTAGAAGTTACAATATTTGAAATCATTTATAAACCTTGGAAGAATGATGTTTAGGTTATTTGGAATCTTTCCTCTATCTTGGCTACAGTGCAGACATTTAAACCTGGAAATTGTGTTTTAGACAGAAGCACAGAATTAAGTCATTCTCCAGTCTAAGGTTGCAAAATAAGGTATATTTTATGTGCATCTAGTACTCTTAATAACTCAAGCATAGTGAAATCTAATTTTGTAGTTTACTTTTTGATTCAGTTGTTCTATTGGGTTGTGAAATATGAAATGAAATAGAACTGGCATTACAGAACTTACATTATTGTTATTTTTGTTTTTGATGGTGCAGGTAGACCGTTGGCCAGAGACAGGGTATGTGAAGAAACTTCAGAGAAGGGACAATACCTTCTACTACTACAACAAACAGAGGGAATGTGATGACAAGGAAGTCCACAAAGTGAAAATTTATGCTTACTAGTCACTCTTCTTTGTATTCCTTGGCACTGTCTTAAGAATTCACTGATTCCTTTCTGCATCATGTAAATGTTTGCCATTTTACAAAGTCGTTCAAAATGCAAAGTGTTGGTTTTTCATTGGCATATCTTCAATTCAGTGTTTTGAAATACAAAAGCCATGGAACTTGCTGGCTAGTGATCATCCTGTCCTGCTGTAAAATATACCTGCAGATATATTAAAGGTGTACTCTTTCTGGTCCTAATTTTCTGACCATTTTAACCATTATGCCCTTGAAGAAATTCCAGTGGTTAGGCTAGTGCTGTATTTTTCACAGCCGGTTGATGCTCCACCCAACCCCGACTCCTTGCCTTCACCTACGAGAACCTCACTTTAACCTGCCAGGTCTGTGTATTGTGGCCATGGCCTAGGGGGTTGATCTGGGCTGTGGGGTACTTTGCCTCCTCCCAGACAGATGGGAGCTACCAAGGATAGTGCTGACCTGGGAGCAGCCCTCCACCAGCGACTGATGGAGAGCAGGTGGACAAGTCCCCAGCAACGTGGCTCAGGGATGAGTGATGCTGACGTGTGTGCTGTACTGCCTCCTGGAGTTTCCCAGTAGGATTGATGCTTCAGTCACCTGCTATAGTCTCTAAATGGATAACTTACTCTGTTGAGTGCCTTTCTGTTCTGCTGCTCATTCCACCTACCAGTGGTGCTTTCCCTCCTGAATAACTTCCTTGCACTTGAAGTTTTGTTCCAGCATGAGACTCTAGGTACCCCCACCTAAGACAATTTACAGTCCAGTGTTGCTGGAACCACTATGAAAGCAGCACAATATTTTTACGCAAGGAAGTCACTTGTCAACCTTTAGGTCTTAAATTCCCACTCAAAAATTAGTGAGTCTAAAATATTCTGAAATAGACTAGATGAAAGATACACTTTTAAATTTAACCATTTTTTCACTAAGATGTTTTTTGGGAGGGCAGTGGCAAGAAGGTGACAGTAACATTGCCCACCATTATTCCTTGTAGATACACCCAATTAAACAGCAATTCTTCCACCTAATTCCCTGCAGAACTGCGAAGATACCAAGTGCTGGCAGCAAAGTAGTCTTGTTTCCATCAACAGCCCACAAGTGCAATGGTAAGTGCAGGTGAAGCAGGACAGGCAGATTTGCCCCTTAGGCAGGGGCAGAAGCCTCGGAGCATCCATGCTCCAACTCTTTAATTTGCAAAGAATCCAGTCAGAAAAACAGCAGGAAGTGGCCATAGAACCCCCTATGGTGACAAAAGATAAGAGTCCTTCATTTGCACTGAACACAGCTAGTAACTACAGTTTAGAAAAACTGCAGTGGAGTGCACGGAAATAGAGTTCAGTGCTTCCAGCATGGGAACGGACCTCCACTGGAGCATTATGCAGACTGATTTCTTCTTAGTAGAAGAAACTGCAAGCTCAGTGAGAAGTGTGAAACTGGCATGCTGAAGGCTCAGAAGCCTTCGCTGGAGACTATTCAGATTTCCAAATCCTCAGCCCTGTGCTGGAAAGCTCAGACTCCATTTCAAAGTCAAGGCTCAAACTATACTGCCATCTGCTGGTTGGAAAGACTCAAACTCTGAAGGGGAAGATAGATGACAGAGGATAGATAGATGATAGATCAGATAGAGGGAGAGATAGATAGATAGATGATAGATGGATGAATCGGTAGTCAACCACTCAGGAAAGCAAGTGAAATTTTTTATTTTTATTTTTTTAAATTTTGTCACTATGGGTTTTGGTCTTTTAATCATTTGTATGTTTTTATGTGTATCTCAATAGGATAACTTTATCTCTCATTTTCTTTTTAGTTCTAATTTTCTTCCTTCCTTTTCTCTAAAATCTTTGTATATGAACCAAGACACCAGTCTTTCAGGATTCAGCTTTAAACCATACCCTCTCTGTCCATTTCCTATCACCCTTCCCCATTTATAGTTTCCCTCCATCTCTAATTAGGGCCACTCTCATTCACCTTTTACCTCTATCTCTATCTCTTCACCCATAATCCTTCTTTACTACCTACACTTTTTGCAGGTTAATTAGACTGCTACATCATGGGTTTTTTTCTTTTTTTTTGTTGTTGGCTTTTAAATTTTTCTTCACCTTCTTTCCCAACACAACATTAACTAGATCTTTTCTACCTATCTCACCCCACTTTCCCACCAACCCCGACTTACTAAGTGGGGGCTAAGCTACCACTCTTCTTGCCTTGTGAAAGCATACACACCATATTATTCCTCAAAAGCATACACCCTGCATTATTCCTCAGTGTTGTCCCACTTATGTCCTTCCCATTAACCCTTGTTAACTTAAGTCTTTCTAGATCACCAAGATTCTTCTTTGCTCCTATATTCCTCTAAATATACTGGAGAAGAAGCAACGAGTGGACTTCATTAGGGTTTACTGTAATCTTAAGATTGTGATTTATCACCTGTTGATAGCTTTTGCAGATAAGATTCCTCATCCTGAGTGAGTAGGGAGATGCACTTCAGTGCTTTGAGCATTGAAGTTGAATGTCTACTGAGCCACACACCACCAGTCTGGTGGCAAGAAAAGGCATCACAACCCAGCCACTGCACAGCCTTAAATAATCAATGAGAAATGCCTTGAAAAAAAAAGGACACAAAATATCAAAAACCCCCAAACACTCAACCCCAGATGTGTAATTCCCAGGCATTGGAGAACTTCATGTTAAAAAAAAATCAAAGATTGCATGTTTCCAGTCTTATGTAGAAGCTAGACCTATAAATTAAACATATATATGAAACATATATATGATAATATATATACACACATATATATAGTGAGAGAGAAAAACATTGCATTTGTCTGAGGGGGATATGGGAGGTGGGAGAAATAAAAAAAATTAGAGAATGAAAAATATTGAAATAGCTCATCTATATGTGGATATAATGCACTGTACAGTAAGCTGTTGAATATTAGGGTAGCATGGTGATAGAGAATGAGTAAGTAAGGGGAGGTTAATTTGATTAAAGCACAATATATAAAGCCCTTAAGTACCAAGGCAAAATCCTCTTGGACTATCAATATACACTTAATAAAAAAATGATGGGCAGGAGGGAAAAATAAATCTTTTCCAGGATTGGGTACCAGTGAGAGGGAGGTGGGCACAAGGAAAGGGGGGAATGAAGGTGTATATAGTGGATGTATTTCGTATCCATATGTGAAAATAGAAGAATGAAACCTGTTGAAATTGTAAGAAGGGAGGAGAGAGGAAGAGCAAGAATGATGGAGGAGGGGTAAATACAACTCAGGTATATTGTTAGCACATATATAAATAGCACAATGTACTCCCCTGTACAACTATTATATGCTAATAAAATCATAAAAAAACAAATCCCATGAAAAAACAAGCTAGTATGTCTCTTCCGAAAGTCAACAACCCCACAATAAAGGACTTAAGTGATAGTGAAGAAAAAGAAATCTCAATCCATGAATTAAAAAAATGACAAAATGAGCTGGCAGAGTAGCTCAAGTGCTAGAGTACCTGCCTCACAAGTGTGAGGCCCCATGTTCAAGCCCCAATACTACAAAAAGTGACAAATATGATTAATGAAATTAAAGAGGAGATATATAAGCAATTGAATAAATTCAAGTAGGATACAAATAGTTTCCTGAACTCAAAGATAATTCAAACAGCTGAATGAAATAAGACAATTCAAGATATGAAATAGGTATTCAATAAAAATATGGAAATCTGAAAAAATCAAATTGAAATCTTGGAAACAAAAAACCGGGCACCAGTGGCTCATGCCTGTAATTCTAGCTACTTGAAAGGTTGAGATCAGGAGGATCACAATCAGGGACCAGCCCAGGTAAATAATTCTTGAAGCCCCACCTCCAAAATAACCAGAGCAAAATGTATTAGAAGTGTGGTTTAAGCAGTAGAGCACCTGCTTTGCAAGCGTGAAGCCCTGAGTTCAAATCCCAGTCCCACAAAAAAAATCATCTCAATATCCCACATAAAAATCTCAATTGAAAGTCTTCCTAATAGAGTGGAGCAGGTTGAAAACAGAATATAAGGGATTGAAGATAAAGTAGGGAAATTAGATCAATCCATCAAAGACAATGAAAAATACTAAGAAAACATGGAAGGAACATGCAGAACCTCTGATACACCATCAAAGGACCAAACCTATAAGTCATAGTTATAGAAGAGATACAAACTAAAGGCATAGACAATAATGTAGTAAGTTATTAATAATAATAGCAGAAAATGCCTCCAATCTTGTAAAAGGGAAGTATATCCAGGTACAGGAGGCTTTCAGAATGACAAATAGGATCAGAAAAAAAAACCCATATAGTTAAAACACTACTTGTACAGAACAAAGAAAGACTATTGAAAGCTGCAAAAAAGAATAGCTAGGTCACATATAAAGGCAAACCCATTAGAATAAAAGATTTCTCAACACAAAGCCTAAATGCAAGGAGGGCATAGAATGATATATTTCAAGCCCTGAAAGAAAACAACTGTCAACCTAGACTAGTCTATCCAGCAAAAATTATCCATCATAACTGAAGAGAAAAAAAAATCCACAATAAACAAAAACTAAAAGAATTCATGACTACCAAACCAGAAAATACTTAGAAATTCTACACACAGGTGAAGAAGGTAGGCACAGTCACAAAAATGCAAAAAGGAGTAAATTCCACTAGCCAAGTAGATTACCAAAGAAGGAATGGAAGAAAAAGTAAACATCAATAGAACCAACAAAATGACAGTAAATACTCCATACATTTCAATATTAACACTGAGTGATATTGACCGCTATTCTCCAATCAGAAAACAGAATGGAAAAGTGGATTAAAAAGCAAGACCCAACCATTTGTTGCTTATAAGAAATCCATCTCACTGACAAAGACAAACATGGGTAGAAAAAGATCTTCCAAGCAAATAGACCCCAAAAGTAGATAGGAGTCACTATACTCATGATTGATGAATCAGACTTCAGACAAAAATTAGAAGAGACAATGAAGGTCACTCCATATTAATAAAGGGAAAACCCATGAATAAGAAATAACAATTCTTAACACATATGTATTAAATGTTGG